GAGTAGGCTTGGATTTGGAGTTATTGGAACTAATGGGTCTTCTTGGGCAATCAAGTACTAGTTAGCAAAATGTAAACTGTCATGAGTCATTTGATTTTTCATTCATCCTAGAAAATATGGTGCAAGAAGATCTTAAATTAGAAAGTGGAAGTCTTGGCTTGAAACTCTTAAGGTTTGGTGTCGAACTACCTTTCTGATCGGGCAATAAGTATGGGAATAGTATGATGCATTTAATATAGAGCTAAAATACAGTTTTGACCCCAAGTTATTCAGAAATTCAACTTTTGTTGCTTATGATTTACTATATATATTGCCATGTGAAATTTTAAAGTGCATGCTTTTCCATACTAGTGAGAGTCCATGCTCATCAAGACAAAAGGTAGTGTGTACTTCCTCTCTTCCCTCTCAGCCTACCTTCCTAACTAAATGATTTCCCAAATTTCATTTTACCATCTCTAGTTTTATCTATCCATAAGTACAATTTAAAATTTCAATGATTGCATTCCGCAGGCTTCACTCTTGACTGTTCCATTATTTCCCAAAAATTGCCACAGGACAGTTGCTTGAAGTAACTCAAAATTTTGAGTTTATTTAATTTTTCACAATTTCATTTTGGCAGCTTGTTTCATACTTAATAAGAAGTAGCCAGAACAAAATTATTATATGACCGACTTTAAGTAGTAACCACTAAAAAGTTTGTGCACAAGGAGAATAGCAGCCTTATCATCAGCAAGTTGCAAGTTGCCACTGTGTAATACTAAGATACCATAATAATTTTGTTAATTGCATATTATCACTATAAATATAACCCTAATTCAGCTTATGTTCGAATAGAAATAGTAATATCAATGAAAAGAATGAAAAAGCATTGGTCAATTTTCTTCTCTTGCAATTCTGCCCTTGCATTGCCTCTTATGTTTCATTTAGGTGAATATTCAGCAGGATCCATTTTTTGCATTGTTATAATGAGTGAAGAACTGTTGCAGAATCATTCAATGACAAAGCTTAGTATTATCAATTTAAGTTATGCGTACTTTTAAGGAAAATATTGCAGTCTTATATTCTTCAAGATATTGCAACTAATCTTTTTTAGTGTGTTGCATTTTCAAGTGCCTTAATTAAGATCTTAAAAATAGATTCAGTGTACATGAAGCATTTTTATTGACATGCTCTTTTGTGAGTTAGTCAAGCCTTACCCATGGAACACATTATGTGACCAGAAGCACAATAACAAGATCAAATGGTAGAATAGTAAAAAAAACGGAGTTTAAATAAGCTATTAGGTCCGACCCAAAAAAAAAAAAAGCTATTAGGAAGTTGGGCCTTGATATATATCAACTATCGAGCATATTTGTTAACAGTTGCACTTAATGAAAAAGTATTCTTCGTGGTTTGAGAAAAGCTGTCTTTGTAAAATTAGTTGTTTCAAGGACTAAATGGTAAATATAGTGATTATGAATGTGGTCTTTGGAAATTTAAAGATTTTGAGTAATCTGTGGAGGGCATTATTTTAGCTAGTCTTTTCATATCTTAGATAGCAATTTCCGATATCAGATTGTCAATTACAACTTAAAAATGAAAATCTACGTGATGAAATGTCAAAGGAACCATAGATAGCAATGTATATTAAGCCTAATAGAAGAAAAAAATTCACATTAACGTCAATTAGGTTATGCATTCATTTCCTCACTTCCATTCTTCGTAATTCCTTATTTTTATGTGATGTCTTTCAACCATTTTATTATCTATGCATATTTGGTAGTGTTTTTTTTTGGGGGTCAAACATATATGGTAGTGTTCACATGTAAGGTTTTGGAACCATTCTACTGTCCTCTCGTGTTTGTCAAGTATGTATCATTAGTGTTTTTAAAGATCTGTATGGGCAGTGGAGTACTCAGATGGAACTTTAAGTTGTCTTGTTCTCCACTCATATCAATTTTAGGTGGGTAGACAATGTTTTCAGGTAAACTAAATTCATCCATGATGGCAACAAAATACCTCAGAATTTAAGTTTTTATCGCTTGTTGCCCTTTTGGGGTGATTTTGAATGAATAAATTATTGACGTTCTGTTGCTCTTCAGTGGATTAAGACCTAAAGGTTGACTTGTCCGTGCAGCTGAGTGGTGGTGAAAAGCAGCGGGTCGCACTTGCTCGTGCTTTCCTGAAGGCCCCGACAATTTTGTGAGAAATCTTCTTTCCGTGTAGTTAATTTTAAGTTTTCTGTCAGTATGGATGATCCTTTTTCTCCCCCTGTTTTAACATTAAGAAGAGGGAGTTGGTTGTTACGTTCCATTTTTGAGGCAGGCAGTTAGGCTTCAGACTATATATGTTTAATCTGACCAGTTAACAGATGTTTTTCAATTCCTTCATCGTCACTGGACATATTATTGCCACCTAAATTCTATATAGTTCCTTGATCCAGCAAACTGTTGGATGGTATGTACAGTTGCTTTTAAGTAATTAAATAATGGCATCCCTAGGTAGTCGTCGTATTGAGTATGTTACAAAATTGGTCCCCATCTTGATTTCCTCCGATATGTTATTCAACGACTCACAAGCTATTTTCAGAATATCTTCCCTACCAAATTTCCCATGAAGCTTCATTTCTATAAAGCGGCAATTAATACTTAATGGCAGCTCTTTATTTGTGGCCAACCATGTTCATTCATTGAGTAAGTACAATCCAAACTTACAGCTTATGAGTAAATAATGGAGCCAGCCTAAAATTCACTCTACCTCTTACCCAAAAACTTAGTATGCTGGTAGAACTTTCCAGTTCTTTTTCTTGTGATGGAAATTCTTGTCTTCCTTGTTGGAGACAATTGATAATTCTTCATCCTGCTTTGTTTTTCAGGCTTTGTGACGAGGCAACTAGTGCACTTGACAGCACGACAGAAGCAGAGATATTAAATGCATTAAAGTCGCTTGCTAACAATAGAACTGCAATATTCATCGCTCACCGGCTTACGACAGCAATGCAATGTGATGAGGTAGCTATTGTCTGTTGTGTGCATAGAGACTTCAGTCTGATAACCCCTTACCGTCTTCTGCTAATTACTTTCATGTCCATGCTAGCTTATAAGTAGAGCTTCACTCTCAATGTTCGTTTCCAGATTGTAGTTCTAGAAAATGGGAAGGTTGTCGAACAGGGAAGACATGAAGATCTTTTGTTGAAGGCTGGAAGATATGCTCAACTATGGGGGCAGCAAAACAACACAACGGATGCAATTGATGCAGCTATCAAATTGAAGGAGTAAGGTACTTTTCAGGAGCCATGCATTTGTCTATCTTATGCTGGAAGTCCCAGGGGGTTGGCAATCGCATCCATTAAACCGAGTTTTCATCAGCAGTGCCTATTAGATTAAATTGGAGTTATATAAATGTTGAGCTGGTGGGTCTTGGTTCGGCCATGGGCATCTAGCTTGTCTGTAATAGCATTACTGCAGTTATATGGGTTTGTTCAATGGCCTCAAATGTGAAAATATTGGGAAACTATAATCATGACAAGTTCTCTCAAGTTTTTAGCAGATGTTTGGCAAAGGATGAAGGGCACCTAATATTTGTCTTTCGATTATACTATAGTTTCGGTGAGATTGCACAGTCCATGCAAGTAGATACTCTTGTTTAGATTTATGGCCGACGTGCGATTTTGCGTCGGTTTGTACTTTCTCGTTCATCAAGATTTTATCCTGTGTGGACGAGATTGTGGTCTTGAAGTTGATGCTTCCTTTACTAGCTGAAGCTTTTTCTAGTTGTACATTGGATCAATCGTGACATGCTACACTTATGCTCTTTCTGAAGGCATTGTTGATTCATAGAAACTTAGATTTGCCTATACAATAAGAAAGTTTGGAAGAATAGCCTTTCATAGTTACATCACGTGTCGAAATCTTGTGATTTTTCATATTTTATATGAGCAAACATGATTGATTCATGTAGCCATACATAGTTATTTAATTATATATTTCATGTCACTCACTCTATAGTGAATGTGCTATAAGTGTATCAAAAAAAAAAATTTCACGAACAATCCTCTGACATTGTGTTATGTAATTTGCTAACTTTTTATGTAACTTGTAATCAATTCATCATACTATAAATATTCTTATTTTTATAATCTACAAAACAACCTTCAGATTCGGGTATGAGCACACTTTTGACAGTATTGAAACATCAATATTAGATCATCGACAATATTAAAAACATTGATTACTTCTTAAACGTTTCTAATCACGGAGAAAACGTGATATTGGACTCAGTTTTGAATATGAGTTCGGGTTTCATGTGGAACTTGTCTCTTTTGAAAACATTATGATTCTTTATGCGTAAATAGAAAGAGTGAAAAAAAAATTAGAATTATATAGCATAAAATAACACAAAGATGTTGATCCATTTTTTCTATATATTATCAGTTGTCGCAAAATGAAAGATTGAGAGAATTATGAATATATACAATTATTATAAAATTCAAGTTTAGAAGACAAGATACACATACAAGAGTTCACCAGAAAACAATTGTATATCTTAGTACTATTTGAAGAAATGATATACAAAAGCGCTGCTCCTTTAGCTATGCTAATGACATTCACCATGTAATGCAAGTTAATGCTAAATTCTGAACTTTCTTTCTATCCTATACTTGTACTTAGGTAGTTGCATAATCACAAAAACAACTTTCATTTCAACCTGCATTATCGTAAAGTGAAAAGCAGAAGACAAGCTTCTGAGAAGTAGCTTCTGTTTTAGTTTTCTTATCTTATGGAATGTGTATACAAAAAGGAATATAATGGGGTTTTAAATGAAGATTTCTATACCGTATTAAGAGCAAGATTCGAACGTGGAACGGGCTCATAGCAATGCAAGGGTGATGTCCATGGCATCGTTTCGGCCAAACCCAAAATGAAGAAAACGAGAGACATCATGGGCTTTGGTTGTTCCCTCCCATCCCATGGCAGAAGAAAGCCCGTCTCATCAAAAGATCCGAAACTCTACTGTCTTGTCTCTCTCTCTCTCTCTCTGGGTTTTTTTGGTAGTCTTGCGTTGCTTGTCTTGTCGGTGCCGTTGAAGACTGAGAGTTTACGACTGGGAGGAGGGAGTGAACCGAATCCTGGACCGGAATATGAGCTGACCCTCACTGACTGTCTTCGTCTTCTACATCCATTCCACGCCCAGATCAATGAAATTCATTCAAAAAGATGGCTTACAGGAGGCAGCGGCAGCAGCAGCAGCAGCAGCAACAATCGGAGAAGCCATTTGCTGAGTTCAATTCCTCATCATCCTCCTCATCATCTTCGCTGGCCGCAAAAGCCATTATAGCATCCTCCGCCCACGCCCAGTCTTCTCTCTCCTCTGCTTACACTTACGCTCCCCCTTCCTACAAGGTCGTCCCCCCCTCCCCTCCTGGTGTTTCCCCTATTCGCCAATTTCTTCTCCTTTGTTTGTTCGCCTTAATTCCTTGACTTGTGGGTGCTGCAGGATGACGACGATGATGATGGTGATGATGCTGATGCTCCGCCTATCCACTCCGCCAAAGCTCCCGATGAGCCCAAGCAGGGATTTTGGGGTGCTCTTGCTAGGAAAGCCAAATCCATTCTTGACGATTCGGCAGATCCACCTTCCCCGCGTCAGCCTATAGCGGACCAGGTTTTTCCCATTCCACAGAGATATCTACTTTTTGCTCAGTTCCAAATCCAATCGTATGCTTAGCTTCTTCCCCTTTTACGCTTTGCTGTTGGGTATCTGCAGCTCCCCACTCCATCTCCTCCGCCCAAGAGCCGACCGAAACAAGAAAGCCCTCCTGCGTTTCAGAAAGGAATCGGTGCCATTGCTTCCTCTCTTAATTATATTGGTAACGCGGTGGAGGTAATCTTCTCCCTCCACTCTTGAGGTTTCTTATGACTCCTACACGAAATTCATGCTTCCAAGTGTATACTGCCCCTATTGGAAACACCAGAGTATCACCTGTACTGGTGAAATCGATTAACCTATGTCCTAGTCAGTTAATGCCAAAGCTCAAGATCCAAAACCATGTCTTTCTTCTTCCGATAATGGATGGACAAGTCTCTAGCTTTTGACTTTCTCTTCCTGCCACACTATTATTCACATGATGTTGGAAATCTCTTCTTCTTCATATTCTTGCTCTTTAGAGGCGAAATGCATACCTGGTTGCAATTTCATTGCATACTGAACTTCTGTAACTTTTTAGTGAGGTAAAGCAGAAAAAGCATTAAGGTTTTGAACTGGTAAATATTCCCCAATTTGCGTATGGCATAAGCGAGATGTGTCGTGATCATATCTCTCTAGGTCGCTCTCTTCCTCTCCATTCAGATTATTATTCAATTCCCATGCTTTAATCTTAGTACGAGTTTCAGCTTATGCGTGACCACACATTCATTTACCAGTTTAAACATGTAGATGAGGTAGTAGCTGTTACCAATTTTCACATATTATATTGTTGAGCATTACAATATCCCATTTCAATCAACTTAAAATGCTGAACTATGCAAAAGGACAATTAAACCTCACCCGGTTAGCGAATTTCTCAAAGCAAAATCTAGATTCTAGCTCTTAGTATGCTCAGTTACACATTGCATGAGCAACTGAGTTTTGCTCCTTCAAAATTCATGAAAATGCCAGGAAGTATGTCTTTCCGACATATGTTTATAGTTTGTTTGCCGGATATCAGGCTTAGACAAGTCCACAACTGAGTTGGTAACGACTAAATCCACCAGTCAATGTAATGTTGGTGTTGCTGTATGGGATGCCATTGAACAGTTTTCTGCAAAGCTTTTGTGCAAAATTAAGTAGTATGTAGTTGCTAATTCTTCTGAGAAATCCGCTGGAAGAGAAGGCTTCAAATGTTCAAAGCTGAATTTGGTTTAGGCTTCCAAATCAAGTAACTATTAATACTTGATTCCGGGGATTCTGTTCCTGTATCTTCGGAGGAGAAAGTTGGTAGCAGTGGTTGAGTAAAAAATTCTTTCTATTAAGATGTTGTACAATAGCAAGAGCCATAACCAGTTCCTCTAACACAAGATTGAGAGAGGATAAGAGTCATTCTCATTGCCTCGAGCACATGTATGGCTGTTGAAATTTAGTTTAAACCTCCAACCAAAGAGTTACTCTTTCCTCCAGCTCTTTTACTCACTTTATTATCGGGGTTCGAAGGACGCTATATATCGAGTGGCTCATAATGTATTGATAAGGTTTTGCTGAATGGCATGAATAAGCAGTTATTTCAACCCCAGTATATGTTTACATTCTAATGTTTTTACTTTTATTTCTACTGAGGCTGCGTTTTCTCTTTTCAGGAAGGTATTAATATCGTGGAAAATCGTGCAGCCAACATCATTCAAGAAACGCGCAAGCATGTAAAGAAAAAACCTAGCAGGTTTGAGGAACGGAACAAGAGACTGAACCAGCATAATCCATTGCAACAACCCCAAACCCTATCACAGATGCAATCAGAGCAGGAAATTCAATTGAAGGCTTCTCGCGACGTAAGGTGGCAACTGTATATCACTGGTTCATATGATGGCTTGTCTTTGTTTCCTGAGTTTTGTGTAGCCTTTAACATTGTAGTCACTGCATGAAGTTCTCTTGAAGGGATATGGATCATCTATACTTACAAGATGGAAGATGCTTCATACATTTGAAGTCTTCTTATCCTAATTTGCATCCTCAGCCAATATGAAATGAACAAGCAAACAATAATCAAGAGCAGCATTTGTAATGTGACGGAGAACGTGAATGCGAAAATCAAGATTGTAGGTTCAGTTTACCTTATCCGCTTGAGCCAGAAGATGTACATAGTCTATCCTAAAGCATCTCAGGATCTTATTGTGCTATGGTGAGAACTAGCAGGAAGTGGTAGAAGTAAATAGAAGAGCCCGAACAATTTCTACCATATAGTTGGACTATATGCTGATCTGATACATATCGAGTGTGATGGCATAAAAGGATTCGTAGGCCACCGCACTTGCGGGAAGAAGCTTAGATTGTTGTTGCTGTTTTTTTATTTTGATATATCATAGTCTGTCATCAATTTTGTGAGATAGAACAATGTCTTTTGTGGACAAATGACAGGTTGCAATGGCCATGGCTGCCAAAGCAAAGCTTCTTCTTCGGGAGCTGAAAACTGTCAAAGCAGATTTTGCTTTTGCAAAGGAGCGATGTGCTCAGCTAGAAGAAGAAAATAAAATGCTTCGGGAAACTCGTGGAAGAGGTGAAAGCCCAGAAGATGATGATTTGGTAAGATTATGGTGATAATCTCTCTTTGAATGTCATTATGTTGATTATTTTTGGGTCAACGACGAGATTTTTCCTACCTTAGTGGGCTCGTACTCTCGATGTCCTTTTTGCCTTCAATTTCTAACACTTGGTGGTGGAAAAATATGTTTCTCCGGATGCCTTTCTATTTTTTACCAATTTACGCAGGGGCAGTTTGTTATATGTTCTCTTGTCACACTTCATTAGCTCATTCGGACGACTCTTCTCTGAGATGGGAACATAAGTATTAAAAAGAGATTGTTGGACCAATTTTTTCTGGAAAAAGTAAATACCAATTGTCATCACATGTCTTTTTTTTTTCTGGCATGAAATATTGAAATGGCCTGTCCGTATCTCATCAAAAGGTGATTAAGATGATGAGCATGATCTTCATCCGACCACCTTTCCATCACCAACCCCGGCCATATTTACCGTGTTTATGGTTGTTTAGTCTGCATATATCTCTTAACTAAAGAGGGTGTGGAGGAACTGTAAAGGATCCATTTATCTAAGAGTAATCAGGGGAAGAAGGCTTTGTCTATTTGTTGTTTACCGATGTCTGGTCCAATTTCACATGTTTGTATTTTTTTTATTCACGGTTTGACCTGGGAGATGTTTATTGCAAGCCCCCCTTATCTGAATTAAAGGTCCATTGTATGTCCATTTCAGGTGCGACTTCAACTTGAGACACTTCTAGCAGAGAAAGCTCGGTTGGCACATGAGAACTCAGTATATGCACGTGAGAATCGTTTCCTGAGGGAAATTGTGGAGTACCACCAGCTCACCATGCAGGATGTGATATACTTGGATGAGAATGCAGAAGAAGTCAATGAAGTTTACCCTTTGAAAGTGCCCCTGGTCTCTAATTTACCCGCCGGTGCTGCTTCTGTGCCTCTTAACTCACTGTCTTCTGCCTCTCCCAAGGGTGCTCATGGCACAAGCCAGGAAGCGACATGGACTTCTCATCCCTCACTATTGCCAGAACCTGTGGAGCCTGTTGGACGTGCCAGACCAGCTGGCTCTTGAGTCAGCTTTCATGGTGATGAAAGATGGAGGTAGATCACAGAACTGCTTTTGAAAGAGCAAATTGTATGGAACGATGGATAATTTTAACAAAGATGTCCCGACTCCTCTTCTCCTCCTCCCTAGTTGAGCTTCTTTGCTTTTGCTCTTAAATCATCTACAGGGACTATATGTTTAATGACAGATACGAATTTTAAGGAAAGAATGTTTAGTTACTCTTAGAAAAAGTTTAAGTGTATCTACTTATCATCACATGTTCAATTACCCTGATGCCTCTTGCATATTTTGTTTAGATTTATGATGGGCAAAATGCTCTGTACGTAGGCCCGATATACATGGTACTTAGGGGTGAGCAAAATGGACCGTTCAAACTGAGACCGGACTGGACCTGACCAGACCGGACCGACCGGTTTGGTTCGGTTCTTGGGAATATCGGTCCGGTTCCCGGTTCCTAAAAGTGGAACCGGTTTCCGTGCGGTCCGGTTCCCGGTTCTAGGGTGGGAACCGGACCGGACCGGACCGACCGGACCGATAAATATATATATTTTTCTAATTTTTTCATATATATACTTATTTACTTTTTAAATATATATATTTAAATAACAAAAGAAGCATTTGATAGTTCATTTTTATTCGGTTCCAATGTGACCAACCCGAAAATGCTTTTATATATTGGTCTCAAAAATGCTTCCCGGTTCCTTCTTGCCTTTACCAATTGGTCTCATTGGAACCGAACCGGACCAGACCGGACCAACGGTCCGGTCTTGTTCACGGTCCCAAGATTAAACGGTCCGGTCCCCGGTCCTAGAAACTGGGAACCGGTCCTCCTGGTCCGGTTCCTGGTTCTTGGGTTGGACCGGACCGGACCGGGAACCGCTCACTCCTAGTGGTACTAGCTAGACATTTCTACGTTTTCCAACTTTTATAAGCAATTAAGCATGTTTTTTACCCCAGATTTAGTGCTATCTCTTTACAATAGATATTGTACATCCTCACTAAAAGGATGAGTCTAATATGAGATTTTGTCATAATAGGCATTCTTACATTATCTCCAAACTATAGTCAAAATACACGCGACCATGAATCATTAAATTTTCCACGCTCTTAAAATGGATGATTTGATAATTAGAAAATAGATATATAAAAATATTGGGGATAGGTAATTATACCAGATGAAGAACTTCATATTTCGGAACTAGATAGTAATCGGATATTTGACCATTTATCTAACTAGGGAAAAGTGCCAAAAAGTCCTAAACCTTTTGTATTAGTGCCAATTCAGTCATAAACATTTTGCATTGGTACCAATTAAGTCCTAAACCTTTTGTTTTTATGCCAATTCAGATCTTCTAACCAATTTTGGCCGGATTTTGCTGACGTGGACGCCGGCCAACTGACGGCCGGTCACCGGCACTGACGTGGATAACTTTAATAATATTTTAATATTTTTATTAAATTTTTATTTCTTTTTTATTTTTTTCCCCTCCCCTCCCTCCTTCCTCCAGCCGGTCGCCGGACCGGCGACGGCGAAGCTCGCCAAAGGCCGACGCCGACGAGGTCGACCTCGCCAGCCACTGGCGAGGGTGGCCTCGCGCTGGATGAGGCCCGACCTCGCCGGATTGGCAACCGGCCAGAGGCCAGAGGCTGGCGCCAGCAAGGCTCGCCCTCGCCGGCCACTGGAGAGGTCGACCTCGCCGGCCACTGGCGAGGGCGGCCTCGCGCTGGGCGAGGCCCGACCTCACCGGCGTTGGCCAGAGGAAGGAGGGAGGGGAGGGGGAAAAAAAAAGAAAAGAAATAAATAAATAAATAAATAAAAATTCAATAAAATATTATTAACAGTTATCCACGTTAACGCCGGTGATCGGCCACCGGCCGATTGACGCCCACGTCAGCAAAATTTGGCTAAAATTGGCCGGAAGGACTGAATTGGAGCAAAAACAAAAGGTTTAGGACTGAATTGATACCAATACAAAAGGTTTAGGACTGAATTGGCACCATAAAAAGGTTTAGGACTGAATTGGCACAAATGCAAAAGGTTTAAGACTAAATTGGTACCAATGCAAAAGGTTTAGGACTTTTTTAGCACTTTTCCCTATTGAATTATATATAGATTCAAGATAGATTTTCTATGAACATAAGCAAAATTGTTCTTTTAACATTTATTACCAAAACATGCATAATTCCATTAGAGATTTATTACTAGAATATGCAACATACGCCTAAAAATTAGATATTTGTTAGGATTATGTGATAAAAGTGCTCTTCGAAAACTGAAAAGCCTAATAAAACTCGCGCATGAACGTGCCACATAACTAAATGTTGCCCGATTGCAACAAAAAAAAATGTTTGCTCGACATTTGCCCATGTTTGAACCGTGGAACTTAAGTCATACTAACTATTGAAATATATCCAAAATAATCCATGAAAATCTATCTCGGTGTCTTTTATTCACATGAAGTCTTTTGGACGTGTTTTTGGATAGACAAAGAAAGTTAGCTTTCAGCTGTTTGACACCGTCTTCAGACTAGGCTGAGTTCAATGAAAGCGTTTGTCTGACGAGCAAATATCATCCAAGAATTGCATTGAGAGAGAAATCGATGTTAAGCCAAGTCAAGAGACATGTGTGCCTGGTTCTTTCATGAGGTGTTCATTCAGACGTAGTCTCGTCTTTGAAGTGTCACATATGAACGCCAAATAGAGAATAGTAAATCCAATAAGCACCCAAATCAGTTTTTGGTTTCTTTATGTCTTGCACAAAGGTACAGGATCCGGTCTCCCTAAAACAACTCATGCCACGGAATAGTGTGGTCCATGTAGGGGTTGCCATACTTAGCTGATAGCAAATTTTGTAAAAGAAAATCAGAACCTCGCCAAGTTCAGGTTGGAATTACCAATACCAAGCTGAAAGTGGCAGAACAAACGGTTGGCACAGGGAAGATTGACGGGACTCTGCTTTTATTCTGTCTCTATGTCCAGTAAGGCCGCGTTCAAATCACAAGCAGTTATGATGTGTTCTTCAGGTGTTCCAGCAAATCCAATATGAAAAAGAAGCACTCCAAACAAATACTCGGGAAGACAGTCGAAAATCAGAATCACCAAGGAGACCGCAGGTCAGCCCCATTGCTCTCTCCTTGAGTCCACTGTGTCCCCTAGCTTCCTAAGATTAATGTACAATCTGCAGACGCAGAAGATTCACATGTAACATCCAGTAAGTATGCTATGCTATGCGTGTAAATTTCTTGTGCTTTACGAAGGCATGTCTAAGCTTATGATAATTGTTTCTATAATGCTCCAACGAGAAGCACAGCTGTCTTATAGCCTCCCGCTTCTGCTCCGCACTTTCCAAGATCATACCATCTCGCCTCTGGATCTCTTCCTCCATCTCCTTGGCTCTTCTTCTCCATTCTTCCACGACCTTCTGAAACCCTTCAGAAGCAGCAATCAGCTCAACGTGCTCCATATTTAACTTCTCCAACTGCCTATTCTTTTGATCCATCTTATCCTCCTTGGACCTAATCTCTTCTTTGAGCCTAAGGACTTCAGCATCTAGCTCGTTTCTCTCTGATAGGAGCATGTCGTAGCTTCTCTTTAAATTTTCCAAGCAATCAGCTCCCACGGCCATCTCTGCTTTCATATGCTCGATGACTTTGTTAAGGCGTTCTTCTGTTCCTATGCTCTCAGCCTTCACCATTCTGATTTCATCTTCCAGACAGCGTCCCCGCGACTCCTCTTCTCTGAGCTGCTGCTCCAGGTGGCTCCGTTCTTCTAGCAGTTTAGATATTTCAGCCTTGATCTGAGACTTTTCTGGAAAAATCTTCTCCTCAGCATCAGAAACCGCAGTTTTCAGTTCCCTAATTTCATGATCCCGGTCTGATAAACTTGTTTTCAGTCTTAACATTCTTTCCTGAAGTTTTGTCACCTCTCTTTTCTCTGCATTATGCTTGGTTTTCCAAGTAGCAGCATCTTTTTTAGCCAATTCGAGCTGATCCTGCAAATATCGATTCTTCTCTGAGGATCTACTGTCCTCAAGCTCTTTTCTCAAGCTAGCTATTTCGGTCATTCCATCCAGAAGCTTTTCTTTTAGGATTTTTATCTCTTCCACCAAAACTTGATTCTTACTGTCCGGAAGCTGTGACTCCAGAGTCTCATGTATGTCCAGCTCAACCTCCTGCATTTTGATATCTTCCTTTGTCAGTTTAAGTGCATCCAACTCCGAAATGTCACTAGCAAATTCCTTAGAACCACATTTCTGGAGCTGAACCTTTAGCTTAGTGATCTCCTCCTTTGAAAGGCGGACCATCTCGTTTGCAGTTTTGAGCTCCTTCTCATACTTCGAGATTATAGATGCAACATCATCAGAAGCATCAAATTTTACTTCTCTCCATAAACCATCTCCATTTTCTTCCTGCTGCATCCGGACCCGCTCTCTCATGTCCCGGAGTTCATTCTCCAGTTCCATCACTTTCAACTGCAGCCCTTGATCAATGCCACCGCCTGAATAAACTGAGTAATTATTAACTGAAGAAGCATCACAATCAGGCTCAGAATCTGTCAGTGAAGACGATTCATCTCCCTCTCTATGAAAACTATCAGAGTTGTTTCCACCAGAACCGAGGAAGAAGTCAAAGCCAGCAGCGTGAAGCCCAGATCTGCGGCGACCTAGCTTTAAATCAGGTGAAGGCAACGAAGAAGGCGGTTCAGAACCGATGTCTGAGATGCCAGAGCCCTGAGATTGGAGATCTGAAGGAATGTTTTTGCGCAATTCTCCAGTCAGGTGATCATAACGCTCTGCCAGAGACCTGTACATGCGATAGAACTCCTCCACATGGGAGACCAAATCTGGCCTCCTTTTATAGTACATTTCCGCCTTTTTTGCAAAAGAATCTCCATCTTCTTCAATAAGTTTCAACATCCTTTTCACGCCCTGGTCCATCTCTGACGTCCAGGACCGTTTGGTCAATATCTTTATTCATAATTTAGATGAGCAAACAAATGAAACGTAGATTCGACATTTAACATTTAGGAAAACGAAAATTACTTCTTTTTCTTTAGAAAGACAACAAACAGGAACACAATGCAGATGGAGAAATCAGCCACACTAGAACCAAAAAGGCCAGCAAACATACTAAAGAGTCATCAATATCATGAGCTATGCACTCAACATACTCCAAAAGTGCAGGAAAATTTGGGTCCTTGCAAAAAGTGGATGTCAAATCTCAATATGCATTGCCAATCCAGAAGCAAATGCCGTTCTCCGTATAAAACCCAGGGTGATAAGAGTATGCTTTCGAGGCTTGTGAAGCTAATGTAGCAAAGCAAAAGCTGAGAGCACGTTAAGAAGAACGAGAGGATACCAAAATTTAACCGAACTGATATGTTATATTTAGAATGCTATATGCTAGAAAGAAGGAGCCTACGGCCCCATCAAATTGTCAGCAAACACCTCAAACTTGTTCTGCCATCTAGCAAAGTGTCAAAGGCACGGTAGCATAATTGGATACGCCTAGAGCAGCAACCATCAACATCACGACCGGGGCTCTCCATTGTAAGACATACATATGCAGTGAAGCACGGTAGACATACAGATAAGTGGGAAAGAGGTGGCATTACCCTCGAGATTGTCGGCAAGCCATTTGGAGTTCTTGGTACCAATATGGCTATCCCACCACCAAGAGTGCGACTTTCTGGGTTCCATTCTCTTCATCATATTCTTGCGGAGAGCACCTGAAGGGTGATTAAAACTCCCTTCAAAAATGAGAAGGCGCTAAAAAAGATGCAAACTTTGAAATAGAAACTGCATTCCCAAGTCCTAACGTTAATGAAGCCCTAGACCCGATCGAGCGTGGGCCACTTTGCATAAAATGAAGCCCACGAAGAAACAATATCATAAAACAGTTGCCGCCGCGGGAGGAAACTCCTGGAAGTAAAAGGCTAGTGCATTTTGACCACTGAACAGACAAACTCCAGCTGCACCAACGTGCCTGTCTCTCTGACTCTCTCCCCTATCCCGTCGGTTTCATTTTCTTTTTTTAAAATATTAAGAAAAGAGGTAATATTGTTATTCATTGACAAGAAGAAAGACGAAATTCGCAGGCGTGTGTCGTGGAACACGACCGCAGATGCAAAAAAAAAAAAAATTGCACCCGGATGGGGATGCGGATCACTGGGATTGGAAGCCAAATCCAATCTTGAAGGGAGAGGTAGGAGATTGATTTACATGAAATGAAACACCATTCATTGCCCCCAAGAGATAGGAAGACAGAGATGGAATGGAAATTCTGGATACATCAAATACACGAAAAGATAAATCGATGGATGCGTTGAGATCTACCAACCTGCCCTGCCTGCCGGCTGCGGCAATTCCCAGCCAAAGAGAGATCGATGGGTTGAATTGGGAGAGAGGGGAGAGGAGAGCTTGCAGAGGTAAAGAGAGGGGAGCAGAGCCAGAGAGAGAGAGAGAGGGAGGATGGATCTGAATCTGATAAGGGGTCTGGACAAAAACCAGTCTTGTGGGGGAAATTATGGCCTTCTCCTTCTCCTGCTCCTCTTCTCTTTCAGTTTCTCCCACTCCCTCTCCCTCTCCCTCTCCCTCCCTCAGGAAAAGAGAGCAAGTTATGGTTTGAACGCGGAACCGACTCTTTCTTGGACCTTCACTGCCTTCCCTTTGCCCCCACCCCCTCCCCCACAATTTGGGGTTCAATCTCAAAAGCGAAGAAAAGGGGACTCGCTACACGCGCTCTCCCTCTCCCTCTCCAGTCTCTACGGGTCAAACCCATTAACCACTATTAATTAACCAATTCAAAAAAAGGAAAAGAAAAAGAGAGAGTGAGGAGCCGGGAGCCGCCCAATGATCGCGACAATTCCAATCCTTTGGGATGTCATCATCCTTCATGGAGGTGTTACGAGTAATTTCCCGCACTCCGACGAATGCCATTTTACCATATATCGTGCAAATACGTGCATCTCCCTCCCCCGCCACGTGCGTGCGGCCAGCATGGTCATTGGATGCGTCACATGGCACCAGGCCATGGATGGATGCTACCATTATATCCACATCGTTGCCATTTGGAAACACTTTGCTCCTCTCTCTCTCACTCTGTAGCTACTCTAAACTTCGCACTCAGATTTGTATCTTGCGGAACCAGCGGCGAGCGAGGTGAACAAGCGACAATTGGTTGCGTTATAGATTGAGAAACAAAGCGACATACGAGTCGTGGTGGGGAGCCATCAATGACCGCAACCTGCTATAAAGCCCATTGCCAAGGCAAGCAAAAGGGACGCCAGAACTGCCCCCAAAAAGGTAAAACGGCCATGGACGAGCTGTGTCTTTCATGATCCGATGTTTTTCTCTTGAAAGACAAATAATTGTAAACGAATCCGACCGACCTACTTTATGAACCATCCACGAGCTCCACTATACATACGAAACCCATCTCATCCAATATGCTCTCTCTGTCTCACTCTCTCGTTTCACTCCCCTATTTTTCGCTTTCCTTGGCAACAATCTTTCAGTTTTCTTCTTTCCTTTCCAACATTTCTTAGGGGGGATATCTCTTTAAAGAATCATCGTAGTAATAGGTAAAAATGACAACTCATGGCCGGGACATGCTCGGGACACCGGAAAACGCTGAGTGGGCCTAAGACATTACATCCTTTTACCCATCCAGATACTTACTCATCTTGTCACGGTCTACTCCACGAAGTTTGTGCCTCAATTCAATCCCCCATTACTTCTTTGAATCTCACGGCTCCCCTATCATTATCGTCTATATAAGTGGCCAGAGTGATAAGTGAAATTGAAATCCAATCATTTTCTTTCAGCAGATTCTGAGATCAAGACATCATATTCGAGATTTCTAAAGGTAAAAAGAACAAATACCCAAAGTACAAATATCCTTAGGAACATAATCATGCACAGAGTTGCTGTTGTCTTCAAGTACTCCGATTCCTCATGATCACTTGTAGAATTCAAAATCAGTGTCGGGCTTCTTCACGTTGGCACGGTAACCTTTCTCGAAGTCCTTAGCTAGTATAACATAGCGGTTCTTCCTAACAGCATGCATCCCAGCTTCTTGACAAATAGCAGCAATCTGTAAAACCAAGAGTTAAACATACATCCAAATCAATAACATACAATTACAGGGTTGAACATACATCCATATCAATAACGCACAATTACAGGGGAAATAAAAATGCTGTTGGTTTGACAACAAAAATCACTGTAGCCACCACACCAAAAGGAAAATCATCCCTCCACAATGCCAAGAGTACCAATTACTACGGCTGCCTAGAGATGAGTATGGCCCACCCAAGTCAAGTCCCCCTCCCTCCTCTTTTTCTTTTATTTTCCTCTTCTTTTTCATCTGTCTGTGTGTGTGCGGTGTGCGTTGTATGCATCAGCGGGGGAGGAGAGTTGTCCAATCATAAAAGGGCAAAAAACACTGGATGTGGTGGATCTAGTAATCAGATAGAGGCGTTAGAGTTATAAGTCATGGCCCACAATCTACTACTTTAGCCTGGTCAGACCACGCCTATACTTTCCACACACTGTTAACTGGACCCAATGAAAGCTAAAACTTTACATGTGAGAACATCTGTTATGCTATAAAGCAGAAACTATCAGGTTTTCTAACCACAAGGCAACAAATTTTAAGATTATGCTGTAAAACATTCCCTAAAATCACAGCAAACATGCAAGCAACACAACATACAATTAGCATGTCCAAGAAGTTCTACAGTGGAGTTGAAACTGCCGAAAGAACACAACAATCAGACACAAATGACAATTTCAAAAAGCTCTACCCACTTTGACAGACCCCTACTCTTGGAAATTCAAGAACAAGTATGACTTGGTGGAAGGATAGAGTTCGGCGAAGAAATAAAAGACATATCAGAAGACAGATAACAAATTTATGAGCTAGCCCCATTTCTTAAAACCCACACCCTGTTCTGCTGGTTCTGACAAGCTTGTAGGTTGCTGGAAAACTAACGAATTGAAATTTTGCTTTCATGGCCAGAAGATAAAGCAGAGGATGATATATCAAACGATACTTACTTTATACAAAACCAAATAAGTAGTGAAAAGAATAGCAATTGAGTCAAGAGCCTGCAAAATGAATAAACTAACCTCAGCAGCACTAATTTTATCTGGTCGAGAAACATAGTCTTCAAGGTCCACCTCATCACTTAGATTCATCTTAGCAGTGCAAACCTGGAGAGAGAGAGAGAGAGAGATTGAGAACATTTGAACATCTTGCAAGACACTGGACATCTATCAGGGTCAAAGAAAAATGAGAAACCAAATCAAGACGCAGTTCAGATGATAAGTTCTTCAGACGCCATGTATTGGATACTGCCTCACCTAAGGGCACCAGGTATAGACATATATACAATAAATATAACTCCTTTTTTTGAAAACGACACACACTAACACCCTTAATCAATGGAGTTATAACAAAAGGTGAATGAGTATAACCTGGAAGACAAGCCTCTTCTGTCGTCTATCGGGTAAAGGGAATTCAATTTTACGGTCAAGCCTTCCTGGTCGGAGAAGTGCAGGGTCCAAAGTGTCCGCACGATTAGTCGCCATTATTACCTTAACGTTAACAGTCTGGTCAAATCCATCCATCTAAAGAATCCAACAAGCAAGAGTTAGAAGGGTTGACTTGACAAGACAAAACAAAGATGCTACCGATTCCCATGTTCTGGGTTCTGTTAGGCATGCTTACCTGGTTCAAAAGCTCCATCAAAATACGTTGGACTTCTCTGTCAGCTCCAGTCTGAGCATCAAATCTTGCTGTAGCAATAGCATCAACCTCATCGATAAAGATAATAGCAGGAGCGTTCTCCTTCGCAAGACGAAAAACATCACGCACCATTCTCGGACCCTGAAAAGTAAAAAAGGCAACCAGTGAACATTGCACTCAACCTGCATGAAACATTGTTCAGACTTTTGTCGTTCTCATTCTCTTCTTATCTTAGGTTGAAAGTACAAGAATGTACAAGCTTCCTATGACACAGAATAAGAAAACACAGAGATAACATTTATCAGAAGTAGAACTTGAATTAAGAAGAGTCCAATAGTCGTACCTCACCCAAATACTTCTGAACAAATTCTGAACCAACAACTCTAATGAAGGCAGCAGTTGTATGATTAGCAACAGCCTTGGCTAGCATAGTTTTGCCTGTCCCTGGTGGACCATAGAGCAAAACACCTCGCGGCGGATCAATACCGATTTGTTTGTATAGTTCATGATGAGTAAGTGGCAACTCCACTGCTTCACGAATCTCTTGCTTCTGAATGTCACATCCTCCAATATCCTGCAAACAAGTTTCTTGTGAGGGGCGAAAAAGCACTCGGTGGTGTATGTATCAATCCACTAGAGATTTGGCAAAATGCGTCTACAGTGCTGCTAAACTCACAGCAAAACCAATAGTGTTATAGCTACTATAATAATGTGATTTGCAACAATTTGGCAAGTAACATACTGGTTTGTCATACCTAAAATTTAGTAACATGATTAATTAAACTTAAAATACACTTACTAGTGAGATAAGACTTAATTCAGAGTTGTCGCACACTAAAATGACTTAATCAAGAGAAAATATATTGGTATCTTGATTTAGTTGGGAAAATAAGACCCTCTAAATTGCCAAGTAAAAAAGTAGCCACTGGTTGCAACTCTGGCAACATGGCAAATTAACTAGAGTTTCAACTAGTGTGGTAAAAAATCCAAAATTCATGTGATCCTATAGTAGCTACTCAAATTCTTAGAACCGTTGAAATTTTATATTAATACTGATTGTACTAATTGCATGCAGGAAGTTGGTCTTCAGTGCAAAGAGAGAATAGCCCAAAGGAAAAGAATCCTACGGCTACATCAGTTAGACAAAACATGTCCACTCGTACTTAGAAAACAATCACCTAAATGTCGGAGCGGATCAACGAGTGGACCAATGAGGACCTTGGCACAATCAAACTTCTTAATATTACTATAGGCCTTGATATCGAGAAAAGTTTGCTATAAGACTCATGTTTGACATTTCTTGTAGATATCAAAGTTTAATAGACTACATCAAGCAATTTAGAATAGAAATGCTTCCAATCAAGAGCTAAATCTGAAAAATGATGGTGGGACCTAGTTGGAAATAGCAGAAAGTGAGTGAATTCTCAATGTTCGTCATTACATAATACAAAACATATCTAATAACGTTATCAGATCCATAGGTTCTTCGACAAGATTGAATAGCACTACCGGCGTGTTTCCTGGCCTACATGAGTAAGATAGGACATTTTACATCATATTCATCACAAGCCAACACTCTCTGGTCCAGACTGATAAACCTGGATAACTTTGGACAAATTATGGACACAGAATCCTGGCTCGAGGGGTGGGATAATTTTTATCCAAACAGATAGAATCTTATTGAAATCAGAAAAATAAGGGCATAGGTGAACCCTGTCATGGCGGTCACAAGACCACGAAAATGGTGGCCAGATCTCTCTCTCTCTCTCTCTCTCTCTCTCTCTCTCTCTCTCTCTCTCTCTCTCTCTCTCTCTCTCTCATCTTTTGCAAAGTTTTACAACCAGGGTCATATAGGGTAAGGGAGGAAACATCCCACTGCCTTGTATAGTCCCTTAACCCCCTCACTCATTAACCAATAATGCAATATATGCAATGCACATGAGAGTCATGGGAACTACCAATATTCAATAGCGCGTCTCAAGATATTTTAGAAGGGCATGCACTAAAGGGGGCAAAAACAGGAGAACCCCATAGACGTCTTGCCAAGAGTTCACTATGCGTCTCATGATATCCTCGCATATTTGGAACAATTGGTAAACAGCACAAAACACCTAACCCTCTCACTCCCAAATTCAATGAGAGCGAATAATACCAAGTCTCTCAGCCTCCTACGGGTATCTCTTAAGATCAGTCACACTGCAACTGTCCAAGAGGCCATGGAAGTGGAAAACCCTAACTTAAGAGAGGTGAAGTAGGCATCGAATTCCAGCAATCCAATGTACGGGGAAATTGAAGAAGGCCACAATAGATAGATATGGAAGGGGAGCGTACGCTGTAGGTGACATCGGGCTTCTCAGACTGGCTGAGGAGGGAGATGCTGGAGTCGGCCTCCGGGGGGAGGACATCGACGAGGGCGTTGGAGTGGCGGTGAAGGGCGACGGAGGCGGAGGGCTTGAGGAGCTCGCGGTTGATGGTGCTGAGGATGCGAACGTAGTAGTTGGACCCGGTGGTGGAGCCGACGATGCCGTTGTTCTGGTCGACCATCTCCATGAACTGGCCGATGACGAGGGGGACGGACTGGATGCGCTTGACCTCCTCCTGGGCGCGGAGGAGCTCGCGCTTGAGGTTCTTCTGCTCGTCCTTGACGTACTCCTCCTGGATGTCGATGAACTCCAGCTGCCTCTCCAGCGACTTGAGGCGGCTGTACAGATCCTCCTCCTCCGCGGCGACCACGGGCGACTCCATCGTCATCCTCGATATCGACGGCGGCGGATCGGATGGAAGCAGAGCTGCTGCAGAACCTGCCATTCCTTCAAAAAGATCAACAATCTGCTTCCGATGGAAGGATGGGATGGGATGGGATCTGTCTCGTCCTCCTCCTCCTCCTCCTCCTCTTCCTCTTTCCCCTCTTCCAAGTTTTCCCCTTCTCTCTTCTGTTCCGACGCTACGAATGCATAAGAAGAGAGATAAAAGTTAAAAAAAGAATGAAAGAGGAAAAACCAGGCCTTTATGACAATTCAGCCCTTCGGCCCACCAAAAAGACATCAGCCCAATCCGCCGGCATAAAATCTAGACCAGACCTATAGAAATCGTCCCCAAGCAAGAGCTATAAAAAACGTATCAATTCGAGTTTCGTATTGACCAAATATCAAAGTGTACCGACCTAAATTTGTGTTGAAAGTCTAACGGTATGCCTAGAATTTAATTTTCTACTTTGAACAATAGAAATGAATCTTTTTTAGCATTCCGTTGTTGTTCAACTAGATAAATGAGAATGCGATTTATTGATAACTAAAATTCTATCCCATGACGAAATGCGGAAATATGCGTTGGCATATGTAAAGTTGAAGTATTATCATCACAAATACAAATATTGACCTGTGGATACACGTGTTCTGCATGCAGTCGCTATATATTTTAGACTGGATTACATCACGAGCTCGATGGGTCCTTGAGCTCATCCATTTACCCGCCTATAATTCTAACATGGACTCGCAAATTTAATCGTGTAAGTGCACTAGATCTTTTGATCTCGTATAGAACATATTCCTATCATGTTCGTACGTCGATCTTCGTTCATCCAAAATTTATAGATCCATGCTTCATGAATCTTTACTGTACTTGCATACTGAGTTTCTAATTTTCATTTTTACTTTTGATTAACGAAAATGATTTGCTATTTGAACCCATCGTATGGCACGGTTATTCATTTCCCGAAACTAACAAAAATTATCCTCCAAATAGTATGGACATATTTCTCAATCCATCCAATCCTCTCTTCTTCTTTTTCTAAATTTGCTCGTATAAAAAATGTCAATTGTATAATATATATATATATAGGGGTGATGCATCCCTATAATTGTCGAATTCTCCCATATTCTCTTTTTATAAAAGAGCATTTTAAAATCATTATTTTCCATTAATATACTCTCTCGCTCTTTTTTATAGGAATCTCACACGAAACTGAGAGATTGTAAATAGCTATGAAGTATAAATAAATGAGTGAGTATCACTATTATATTGACTCCTATGAATTATCCAATATATTATTGGCACATATTATGGGGGCACGTAGTACTTTCTTTTGTCTTGTTAAAATCCGGCATTTGTATCACGTCAAGAATTTGGGAAAAGAACACTAGAAGTGAAAAACTTGTTTACGACGCTTATTTTAGCGTCAAAAGTTTTCGCCAGCTCACTAAAGTACCAAATCGAAGGAAAAACGATTACTTAAGTGCCAAAAGTGAGAAATTCTGGCTAAATTAATACGTAGCTTTTATAATTAAAATTTTAATATGAGTTGGATTTTTTTAAAAAAAAATCAGTCTACGTGGCATTTCCACATGTATATTTCGATTTTTAAAATATTTTTTCTGATTTTTTTTCTTTTTTTCCTTCTTTTCTTTTTTTCTTCTCTTTCTTCTTCTTCTATCTTTGGCCGGTGACCGGACACCGGCTACCGGCCGCTTGGCCTCGTCCGGACAAGGCCGCCGTCGCCCGCCACAAGCGAGACCCGACCGACCCTTGCCTCACCAAGGCCTCGACAAGACCTTGCCTCGCCAGTTTCCATTTACCATCCTTTTTTGGGGGTTCCAAACCTTGACTTCTTTAGGGGCTTGGAGTAGATGAAGCCTTCCTTCTTCTCGGTCCGCTTTGGCTCCTGATCTTGAGCTCACAGGTCTTGAGTCTTTAGGTCTTTCGTTTTGTTTCTCGTGAGGATAGCGATGAGTCTTGAGTAGCCTGAACAGCTTGAGTATCGAGTTCAGTTCGTAGTTGCTCTCGGGCAAGAACAAGTCCAGTCTGGTCATTCATTGAGGGAAGCAAGCCGGTAATCCTCTTTCGGAATTTGCGGAAGATAGTATAGATGCTCCTGTTCTTTCTACAGCAGTTGTGGGTGCGCTTTACTTCTTTATGAGTATCCTGATGTTGATGTCTTGTTCAAGCTATGGATCAACTATAGAGAAGGAGTGTGAAAGCTAGATACTTTTTTTTAATACTCCTTGCCTGCTAGAAGCTATGGTATCCCACCGCTCCTATCCAAAAGGGTGAGTTGATACTAGGGTGGCGCCTTACCCTAATTGCTCAGTTGTTAACCAACTCGCCTTGCCGGGGCTCGCCCTTGCCCAGGCGAGGCGAGGCCGACCCTAGCCAAATCCGGCGAGGCCGGCCCTCGCCTAGGCCACGGCGGCCTCGCCTTCCCCCGGGCACGATTATTCATTTCCCAAAACTAACAAAAATTATCCTCCAAATAGTATGGACATATTTCTCAATCCATCCAATCCTCTCTTCTTCTTTTTCTAAATTTGCTCGTATAAAAAATGTCAATTGTGTATATATATATCGGGGTGATATGTCCTTATAATGTCGAATTCTCCTATATTCTCTTTTTATAAAAGAGCATTTTAAAATCATTATTTTCCATTAATATACTCTCTCGCTCTTTTCTATAGGAATCTCACGCGAAACTGCGAGATTGTAAATAGCTATGAAGTATAAATAAATGAGTGAGTATCACTATTATATTGACTCCTATGAATTATCCAATATATTATTGGCACATATTATGGGGGCACGTGGTACTTTCGTTTGTCCTGTTAAAATTCGGCATTTGTATCACATCAAGAATTCGGGAGAAGAATACTATAAGCACCAAAACTTTTGTACGGCGCTCACTTTAGTGCCAAAAATTTTCGCTAGCTCACTTAAGTGCTAAATCGGAGGAAAAACGATCACTTAAGTGCTAACGGCGTAAAATTCTGGTCAAACTAATATATGACTTTTATAATTAAAATTTTAATCTGAGTTAGATTTTTTTTATAAAAAAAATCAGTCTACGTGGCATTTCCATGTGTATATTTCGATTTTTAAAAAAAAATTCAGATGTTTTTCTTTTTTTTCTTTCTTTTTTCTTTTTCTACCTTTAGCCGGTGACCGGACATCGGCTACCGGCCACCTGGCCTTGCCTAGACAAGGCCGCCATCGCCCGCCACAGACGAGGCTGCCGTGGCTTGGGCAAGGGTCGGCCTCGCCGGATCTAGCAAGGGGAGCCCTCGTCGGGCGTCGCCCGCCCTTGCCTAGGCGAGGAGAGGCCGACCCTTGCCAGATCCAAGGAGGCCGGCCGTCGCCCAAGCCACGGCGGCCTCGCCGGGCGTCATTCGCCCTTGCCCAGGCGAGGAGAGGCCGATCCAAGCCGGGGCTCGCCTGCCCTCGCTAACCCAGGTCTCGCCTGTGGCGGGCGACGGTAGCCTCGTTCGAGCGAGGCCAAGCGGTCGGCCATGGCCGGTGGCTGGTGTCTGGTCACCGGCCAAAGGTAGAAGAAGAAGAAAGAAAAGAAAAGAGGAAAAAAGACAAAAAAAAATCAGAAAAAATATTTAAAAAATTAAAAAATATTAAAATATTATTAATATATTATTCCCATCAGCGCCGATGTGTCACGTAGGACCGAGAAATTCAAATCGGAGTTGATATTTAAGTGATCATTTTTTTTTAAAGTGATATTTAAGTGATTCGAAAAAAAGTTTTGACACTAAAGTGAGCGCCGTACACAAGTTTTGGCCTATTGTGTTCTTTCCCCCCTCAAGAATTATCACGCGCTGCAGCTAGTTTTTTTTAAATTTTTTCGATTATAACCTTAAGACGAGACTCGAGAGAGAGAAAGGAGAAGATGGCGGAATTTCACGCAAAGATGTGGATGCATTCGGGGAGTGTTGCAGAATTAGCTGAATGATTTGAAGATTTCCTCCGTTGGAGGTAGGTTCGCAATCTCCTCCTTGAAGTTGAAGGATTCTGGATTCTTCTCCGGTCAGAGACGAGAGCTCGCTCTCCCTCTCTCCCTCTCTCTCTCTCTCCGTAGATTACCGGATCATCCGCGTTGTTCGTCCGGATTCCGTCGGGATTTCCCACGTCGAACGTGTTACGTGCGCTGTGATCGTCGGAGGAACTGCAGCATGGTCACGTAACACATGCCGATCACGTCTCTGTTCATGGACACGATTTAAGCCGATTTCGGCACGTATAACTAGCTCTGTGTTGCAATTCCTGCGTATTTGCAGGACATTGCTTTAGGATTGCTTGGCTTTTCATCTGCACGCCAAAGATGTTGCAGTGGATGGGAGGATCGAGACGGAAGATAACGACTGTAAGTGTCGGTATGTGCTTTGACCTTTGAGAATTTGCAGAATCTGTCAGCTCGGTGCGATTCTGTCATGATCTTTCTTAGGTTGCAAGTTGAAATGATCATTCATTGCCTTCCACTACTTCCTGTAACCTGAAAGGATCAGTAGAGCTACCATTACTCAGTTTAGATCGAATGATTATTTTCTTATCGGGATCACTCTCCTCGAACACGACTTCTTGTTCCCCACCTTGGTGGGAGCGCCCCATCCCGTTGTTTCCTTTGGACAACTGGACTGCCGGCATGTCAGTTGTCAGGTAGTGGTATGCCGTCAATTTGTTTAATAACGAAAATTGCAGGTAGAAAGTAGTAAGGTCTGGTTCTTGTGGCTCAAAATTTTAGCTCATTGGTTCAGGAGAAAGAATCTGTGATGCTAAACTTAGTGTTTGTGCGTCAACAGTGTGAAAAGACAAGATACACTGTCTCTTTTGTGGAATTTCTTCTCAAATTATCACGAGCCGAACAGGACAACGTCATTATTCTGCTTCTGATACACAACCACTTATTTGTGCCTTGGTGCATCTTAATTATGCTGACATGTGGATTATTACAGTCCAGGAAGTCAACTCAGAAGAGGTAAAGAACATCTATCTACTTGCGCTCTTTTTCCCTCGAACTGATGCAGCCAGAACTTTGCTACCAAAAGCATCTGGCAAGCATTTATCACGCAAGAGCAACGACCCATTCTTTCTAAAATCTTTCTATTCATGGAGGCAAAAGCAATATTTTGAGCAAAAGAAGAGGCAACAGCAGCAAAAAAATTTTGGTTCGGACAGCTATGCTGAGGAAACAAATGTGGACTGCCAGCAGCAGAAAGAAAATCGATCATTAGATATTCTCAGTTTGTTGAATCTTTCGACTGCCCCACAAGTGTACAAAAGTAGCTGCCCTGATGGTGAGCATCTCAAAATTTTGTCCATTGAGGGTTGTGAGGACTTGTCAATGTACATTCCAGTTTGGATATATAGTTAACTCTAACACTTTTCTGTGTGCCTGCACCTCCTAGAGGAACTTGAGCTCATTAACTTTGGCTAAAACTCTACTACCAAAAGAATTCTTTTTTTTTCCCACTTGAAATGTTGCACAATAATAATTGATGACATGCCTATTCAAGTTCCTAACTTGTGGGATGGGCTGTGTGTCCTCCTGTTATTGTGCTTAGATGCCATGACAGGCTAACTTTCCTGTATGTCGATGCATATCTTAATTGGGTCATTAAGGAGCTATGTAGTCAACCTCACTCTGTTGGAAAAGCTTTCATCATGGGGTCATCATTCTAGTGCTATATTATTCAATTTTATCGAGAACTCTGTAGAAAGCTACTAGCTTGTTAAGCATCTAGGTGTATCCTTACCTTACTATATAGATCCCATGGTACAAAGGCTCTTAGATATTTTCTTTGCTCAAAATATGCACAAATGGAGTTTTAACTTTAATGATAGCATTTGTTTTATCGAGTGTTCTTTCTGTCCTACTTCCTTTCAGGTAGGACTCTTTTGGTCTTACTTCTTAGATACAAGAACCAGAGAGCTATACATTTTCTTCACCTTATCCGTTTACTGCTGTCTACAGGAAGCAGTATTCCGTGTATTAATGATCCGAAGGTAAAACACCAATTCAGAAATTTTCCACCCACTGCAATTGCCAATGGAGTAACTCATGTCATGCCTACTGAAGTGCACGAAGCAGGTGTGGTTGCGAATCAATTTTGTGGAATTATTACCTTATTTTTCATAGAGTTGATTTTGTTTCATTCATCGTTGTAGTGAGGTTTTCAATAGAATTGTATTGAACATGGAAACAGGTTCTCAATTTGGCAATCAAGTGACGGCTCTTCTTCCGATGAATGAAGTCGATAATCAGTGAGTTAATAGTCGTGCAACAGCATCCTCATTGCCCCCCACCCACCCCCAAAATGGGAAAAGAGGCAGTTATCCTGTCAAGGCAGACATACAAGGATCAGAGAAAAAAATAAGGGTCTACATCTCTCATGGTTGTGGGAATGATCCGGACGATCTATGGTCCATACCCATCATATTCAATGACGGAGAAATATCTCGGCTGGCCGAGAGACTTGACTGCAACATACATGATACCTATCCATGCAACTAACAGCCCCTGATGCTTGTTTTTAATAATTCATAGTGATTATCGTGCCTTATGCACAATGCATGATCATCAAGTATTTTGTTGCTTGTTGTGCTCAAGTTTTTCTCTCAATATTCATGCAGTGTCTCAAATAATCAAAAGAACGAGCTTGGTCATAAGATGGGAGTAATGTATGAGCCACGTAAGTGGCCATATCAATAGCATATGTTTAAATATTCTGGCTTACACTGTGCCTTGTTACTCATGCTTTCCAATAAACCTTAGTTTGCAGCTTAGTTGCTGCAATGGCATAATCAAAGTGACAAGTTGTTTCCATATCTCTTCAGGTACATCTGTCCTTGATTTGATTGGTGATGATCCTTCTGACAGAAATTTGGAAATCAGTCCAGCAAATGAAGATCACGTCGCCTTTTCCGTAAATGGTATTATCTAGTTCATGTCATTAGCTTGCCATGGAAATTTCTTAGTTATTATAACTGGTGTCGTGCATCATTTCAATTTGGAAGAAAGTAATTCTACACATTAGGCAGGAGTTGAGACACCACTCTAGTCGAGTGTTATTATCACTTCTCTGCATTTATTGTGCCACTCGCTTGGTAGTTACAGTTGATAAATTTTCTTTCTTGACTTGCCAAGAAAATTGCTTGATTCATTCAGAAGGGGATAACCGCAGATCCTGAAGACACAATTGGTTTCTCTTTTCTGTGGTGAAAAACAAGCAATTGTTCCATGGTTTCTCTTAATAACTTGTGTCCATCAGGCTTAGGTAGAGTGGGAACAGAAACACCAGTTCATTCACCACAGCAAGTTGACAGGTAACATAGATAAAGTTGAAATTGCAATTATCCATGCTTTAGGAATTAGAATGCTGATTTAGATATATACAGTAATATATAACTACTTATACATTTTGAGGTTAACTACTGTATGTGGTTTTTCTTTTCCATTTCCACCTCGCAACTACTCATTTATCTGACTTACAGGAATATGCACTATTTACTACTTGTAGGTCTCCGATTGGAATGATAATTAGAACCGTTTGACTATTTTGGCCATTTAGGTCTGGCTTTGTTGGTTATCCAGGGATTATGTAATGGAAATCGACTTGCAAAAGGAGGATTAAGTTAATGAAGAGAAACCTTAAATGAACATGAAGACTTGATGCATTTCTTTAACAAAAAAATTGTGACTTAATTTGGGAATTTAGTATGATCAGTTGAGTTGTAAACTTGTATTGCATGATATTTTGGAAAAACTGCTAAGATAAAGTCAGAGTTTCTAATTCATTAGAGGAAAACATATTCTGGAACACTATGCTGTTTCTCTTCACAGAATTGTCATCCATAACAAAACGTGTACTTTCTCAATAGGGAAGCTATAGGTTGCTTGAAAGAACTTGTGGATTTGCCTACTATTTTTTGTAGTTCCTCACTATTGCAGTGTCAAAGCTACTCAGCAAGATTAAACACTTGCAGTTACAAACTCCTTTAAAACCCTTTTCTAGAGGAGCTTGCAGCATTGTCTCCTGAGAGAAATGTCTTAACTTACAGAGACCAGGAAAAGACTATTAGACAATCACACTGATACCCAGCCAAATTGTGGAAAAGGTTAACCAATAATAAGTAAAGATCTCTGAATTTTTTTTTTCACTGCTAATGGAAGGAAAACACATCGTGTTAGTCTGTTGGACTTCTGAAGGGAAGAGGATTTTGAAGAAATATGCAAGATAAGCACTGTGTGAACCTGACTTATGGCGAGTCTTTCAGTCTAAACAATTGGTTTAACATTTTGAAATTATAAGCTTTGTATTAGAATTATTGGCGATAAATCATAGTCAATCAAATGAATTTTAGATCCCGAACACCAAAAGCTACAACAATATTAAAAATGTACAGCTACCCCAAGTGATCTTGGCAAAGAGCTTTAATTTGAACTGATTTATGTAGTTCACAGGCTTCCCGCACTATCATGCCTCTAAGAGTATGTACATGTTAAATCACACATTCATCTTATAAATTAAGTTTCTAGAATTGTTGTTTGTGGTTCCACAAACCTTCACATGGTATTAGACTAGGAAATCCTAAGTTATAATTTTTTTGGACTCTTATTTGCCTCCCCAATTATATGTTTCCACACTTCAGCCTTAAGGCAAAGTCCAGGTTTATGTGTGAGGGGGAATGTGAGGGTTTTAATATCAAATCACGTCATCATGTAATTGATTAAACTTGTAGAGCAGTTGGTTATGGTTCCACAAACTTTCAAGATACCCAATAACTATGTGCTTAGTGTTGGCAATGCCAAGCTATTGCCCCCTGATTTATCGAGAGAAAACCCATATTCATATCTTATAATCTAAGCTAAGAGGATGTCTCCGCCAATGCTTTACATTAGCGACTTAATTAGGATACAAGAACCATTTGAACACCCATTAAATGCTCTAACCTCGATTAAAACAAGTTTACTTATTCTATAGGAGCTTTAAAATAGACTGGAATTCTCAACTGAACCAAAAAATTATTATGCTTAACCATTGGTACCAAAAAGTTAGTATGCTTAACCATTGGTGATCAGGCATATCATTTTAAAGATATGTAGAAAAATCAAAGGCAGCCTCTTGTCTGGTCCTGAGGAAGATTATTCTTACTGGCATCATTTGATGTGAGAGTACCTTCTGTTCACTTTTCAGCACTATATTCATCTTTGGAATTAAGGAATGAGTAAGAGGAGATCACATTCCTTCGGAAGCATTGTGCAGTTTAATGATAATTGAGTGTGAACAGCTTTAATATTAAGTGATGAACTGGTGGTTGTTTTATGGTTGATGCAACTAGTGTAGTGTCGCTTGGGACAGCATCGATGTGTATTACTTTACTTGGATTGCAAGTTAATACGGCTATATGCAGATTCAAATGTTTTCTTGAATCGCAGAACATTTTCCTATGGTTGCACATCACCCTTAAAACATTCAGGCTGGTCAGACATGTTGGAGAACCGAGATCATGCATTGGATGACCTTGATTTTGAAGCAGTGAGATTCTTGGTGCATTGCCCTCTGCTCATGTTGTTTGATGCCTTTAGCTATTCTTAGCAGTATCATGTGTAGTTAGAGATTAATCTTAGTCTTCTTAGCACCATGGAAAATCAAATCTTGAATGCAGATATATATGCAATCCTTCAGTGACTTCTTCCTCAGAAATGTTGGCTGTGACATGTGTGCATGCTCCTCCTCCGTCATCGCTACCTTATTTTGCGATCCTTCCTACAGTTTATTGGGTGATTGAAGAAATTAATCAAGTGCTGTGGCTGTGATATTTAATTCTTGTACTAGCGAACACCTGGGTTAAGATATGTTTCTTTGGATAGAAAAATGAGAGTCCCTCGTTGACGCATATGGTAGGAGAAATGGTATGTATATGGAGTATATTAGTACCCGATAGAATTGTATAATGAACACATGGACTACCAAATTAGACAGTCTAAACTTCTTGGGTACAGAAGTAATTCTTGCTATGGGAGTGCACTGCAACATAGTACCACAAAATGCAGACTAGTAGCCATTAATAGTTCTTAACCTTGATCATCTCTTCTGGAAAGAAAGACATTGCTCATGGAACTTGACTATTACATTCTTCATGTATAAAGGCAAAGGCTATCAATATCTTGCATTTTCATTGAAATCCAATTCCCTGAGTATAAAAGAATGCAGTCAGATCTCACGTCGATCTTTTTTGATGCAGAAGTCCATGATGAAATCTTTTAATGTGCCTGATCGTCGGCATTCATTGAGGAACTCAATGGGTATAGAGGATTGGTATGGCAATCTGGAGGCAAACACCTGCGCCTGGGATAACTCGAATCATCACTGGAGGGATAGTAGCATAATGAAATCATCTGGTCACAAAGATGTATGGGAAGGTGATTTTTTAAGTTACCCTTATTTAACCAAAAAAACAAGACACCCTCATTTGAGCATATATTTGGTTAACTTGATGAGCATCGCGACCTATGTTTGAGCGAATTTTCTCATTGTGGATACTCAAGTCTAGGACAATCTTGCCATCTTTAGGGGATCTCTATTTGCATTTCATCCAAGCTTACTATAATGTAATTAAATCTTTGAAATTCTGCAATCATGAAATATACAATCTCCCCAGTTTCTGCTATGATCTACTGTATATCAATCATATCTTGGATAAGATTTTGCACAAAATGCATTTTGTATTGCCTCCTTGAGATCATATGGACTTCTCTAGCACCATATCATTTTTTTAGATACCTGTTTCTGTCTCTTTTTACAAATAGAAATCATGGCATTTCTCTGGTCTATCATTCTATGGTTTCTTTCCCCCTTCTTTACAAAAACAATTCCAGATGATGAGAAAGAATTGACCATCTGCAACTTCTCCTTATGTATCTGATTGCTGTTCTAGGATAGTGTTCGTTGTTCTAGGTTAAGCTTTGATATTCAAGGTCAAGTAATATTTTTATTCCTATGCTTTTCGTTTTTTGAGCCAAACATAACTCGCTACTCTCTGCTGTTTTGTTTTATTGCTCCTCCAGCGAGCTCTAGTTCTCTTAATAACAACTATTTTCTCGGGGGAGATTACGGCATCTCTTGGGATAAACGTCCTTTTGAAGTGGATGACCTATGTGATGATTTCACCACATATGAGAATCATGAATTGTCAGAGCATAATTTGGATCAAGTCCGTTTGCTTAAGAAAAGGTGACTCAGTGAAAGTTAACCAGTCTTCCTGTTTGTGGATGTTGATGAACTGCTTTATGAAGCTATAATCATGCAGGGTCATTGCTGAAGCTGGAGTCAGAAGCGAAACTTTAGGTTCTCTCTGTCTCAATAGCATAAGAGAGCTATTTGTGTCGTGCCTGCTTGATTTTAGTTTGAAACAGGGACATGACATTTGAGTTTGCATGTTTCTGATTCTTTGGAAGCAGAGTTGGAAATTTTTTTCTTGTTCATATGAACACGTCTTCTTTTTTGTCTTGTATGTCCACTCATGGAATTTTAAGCCCAAAAAAAAAAAAAACCCTTTCCAAGGGTAAGACTTTTTTATGTCATGGATGTCTTAAACTCGTCCCTAGATTATTTCTTACATTTGTTGCAGAAATGCAACGAAAAATATGATCTTTAGAAGTGGTGCATTCATGAATAATCGTGTTGCCTGCTCACTCTTTATTTTTTGGTACTGGTCCCATAGGACCCATACCAGTGATGGAGCATTTAGTTTTGATTTCTGCAGAACAAGCTTTTGTAGCAGGAGGTAGTTTGGGCCATAACATCTAGAGAAGATGGGAAAAATTACGTTCACGACCTTGCTTACATGTTGAAAGCTTATGCCTTCATTTCTGTCCCTTTAGGTTAGGATGCAGATATTGCTCTGACATGAAACTTCTGAGAGAAGGCCAAGATAGACAAGATTACATGCAACAAGTATCTCTTTCTTTTGGTATCCTGATGTCTATTGTTTTCATGCGAGGATCAGTGTCTCCCCTGTTATTTGAACAGCGCGGTTCAGAAGAAGCATATTGGTGTAGCACCGTCTTGGATGATCCAAGAGAGAGTTCAAGCTTTCAAAGGTAAAATTTAGCAGATTTCCTTATCTCAAAATAGTTCAACTTGTTTTTGAAGTTGACTGCTGTTTTGCCTGGCACTTTGTAGTTCCGGCAGCGAAGAGTCATGCTCCTCCACTACAGGTTATCGTTTCTTGTGATCGCAATTCTTTCTCCAGCCAATTTCAGTTGTGAAACTTTTGTATTGGTAAACAAAGCCAGCTTTGAAGATGCCTGCTTTAGTACTTCAGATTAAAATTTTCGGTAGGATTATCAGTTTTGCCCTCCTACTGGAAACATATTGTCAAGTTGAATTCATTTTTGTCCTGCTTTTGCATGATTTCGATGAGGGCGTGCCTAGATGGGCTCCTTTTGTTTGCAAATTGCGTAATCCGAATTTTGCCACGGACGCATATTGACTTTTTTTTTTTATTTCATAACGCCTCAAACTTTCACAATATAAAATTTTGACGCATAAATTCACATATAATATTTTCGCAATAATTTGAAATTTTGGCGGGAAAACATAAAGTTACATGTCATTTTTTGCTGAAATATAAACAAACATACTCGTTTCGTTTATTTCGCGAAAATAAACGATTTGGAAAATATTTTCTTAAAAGTAATCATTTGTATCGCTTATAAAAATAAAAAGAAAAGTATTTTCGTCCTCCACGAAAATGTCTAGATATAAATTTTTGTTAGTAATGAAAATATTTTTCATTGATTAATCATTTCAAGTTATATAAACGATCATTTTCAAGAATATATTTTTAAAATTATTTATATTTCGCGAAACAAACGTAGGTTAAGTATTCTGGCTAAATCTTTAGAGCACCTATTTTGATGGATAAATTGTATGGGAAGACAAAATAGTGGATTACCTTAATGGAAGATGGGGAAAGTGAACTTTGTCCGTGAGGGATCGACTTAGCGGTTGGATAGCGAATTTGTGCGCGTGGGTTAGACACAGGCGTAGAAATTAGAACTGGTTCCTCCAATTCATGTTTCCAAACGATTGCCTAAAAGCTCTATGGATACAGATCCAACCGTCCACACTTTTTTTTTTTTTGGTCGAAACCGTGCACACTTTTAACACGCGTCCTTTTTTTCTATATGTAGTCCTCACCACATCGAATCAAGTCTCACTAAAACGGTAAACAGTAAACACTGATTCTCTCTCCCTTCCTCTTCCCCCCTTTGCGCCACTACCGTCAACCCTCACACAACATCCCTGTCACCTTCCGCCGCCGCCATCAGTCAAGCCGCCGTTGACACTTGACACCACGCGTCGTAAGTGTAACCCCCCATCCCCATCCCCATCCCCATCACCACTCTCTCTCTCTCTCTCTCCAAGCTCGCGCGTCCATTGAGCTGTCGAGGTGAGCTCAGCCATAGAGGAGCTCCAGATGTGGCCATGGAGCTCCTCCGCGGCCGAGTCGAGTAGATCTCCGCAATGGAAGAGGCGCCAGATCTGTCTGTGAAGCTCCACCTCGTCGTAATCTGTTAGTGAACTAACTCTAGATCTCGGCAGGATCGCCGTCGCGCGGACCAGATTTGGTCTGAGATCTCGACGTCCTCTCCTCCGAAGCTCATCACCCACGAGACAGATCTCGTCGGTGGCAATGAGACGGAGCTCGGGCTCGGCGTCGAGCTCGACACCGAGGCGACCTCCCATCGCCACCGCGCGCGTCTCGCGGAGACGGAGCAAGAGCCTGTTGAGGACACGCGGGCGGGAACATTGTTGTTGGTCCGCCGTCTTGACCGCCCAAACAAACATCGTCATTTGTCCACGTGGCAAGACAGAGAGACATCTTCTCCTTATCGAAACAAATTTTTTTTTTTTTGTTGCTATTTAGATGCCACCGAAGTAATTGGAGAAATCTTTCTTAGGTATTTATAGCCAAAGGTGATGTCATTCTTATCATTTCTTCTTTCCATAATAAGTAACGAAATATTAATGGACTTTCTAAATGTTATTGAGTGTGCTTCCTAAGAAAGTAAATGCAATCGATGTGCTGTGTTATGAGCGTGGTTGTATTTTCCACTTTATTTTTAAGTTCTTTTCTTATTTACCGTAAAATCATAGCTCGTTTTCTGCTTTTTCATTATTTCAATTACGACAAAAGGCATTCACAAATTTACACCGGCTTTGTTTTGAGTATTCCTTGCACGATTATGTTCAGTAAGTACATCTGAAACATCTAGCTTTGATTTGATATAATATAGAAATATAACGTTCTCAAATATTTTTTGAATCGTCTTACTTATAGCCATCTCATGCAATACGTAGATTGTTATCTAGTCAAATAGAAAGGTAATATCCATAATGAAGCAGTTGCAGAGGGCCCGAGTTGTAATTTATGATCCGGCAGGCAAGAAAGATGTATAAGATTGGATAAAAAAAGGGGTTATAGTTAGACGTGGTTTTCGATAGAGTGAAAATTGAGACATACTTAGGTTATTTGCTCAATAATAAAAATATACAAATTCAAGCATAATATTTAATTAGTATGAGAGTACTTTTTATATACTTACCCTCAATATTAGAGGAATTTCACAACCGTGAAATACCTCTCCTAGAAGTATACTACAGCTACTAATTGTTGATATTGCCGCCGCTACCGTTGCTGCAAATCCAAAACCTCTTATTGTTCTGGCTGTTGCATTTTTCTTTCGGCATGCACCAATACATAGTAAATCAACATAAGATTTTCTTTTTTGTATAATTACTCGACAACAATAATAGAGAACAAAAAAAGATACTGTGTCAAACAGGCAGTGTGTCGGCTGGCATGTGTTTAAGGAGGCTTAAGTCAAGAGAAGGGAAGAGAATCTGGTCAGCAAATTTTGCTTTCCTTGCACGGGCGCGTCCTGCTCAAAAGAAAAAAAAGGAAAAGGAAAAAAGAATCAGGATGACTTCCTTGTTTAAGCCAGCGATGTTATTATTTCAGGAATGATCCGAAGAGACTCAGGTTTTTAAAAACCAGTTGAGTTTGTCGCGCTGTAGGAGCCCATATAAACAGAAGGCCCCCCAGAAAAAGGAAAAGGAAAGGAAAAGAAAAGGAAAGGAAACGAAAAGAAAAGGAAAAGAAAAGAAAGGAATTAAGCGTGCGAGTGCGTGTGTGTGTGCGTGCGTGAGAGAAAGAGAAAGCGAAAGAGACGACGACGACTCGTTAGGCGGTGTGGGTGTGTGTGTTGTGAGAGAGAGAGAGAGAGAGAGAGAGAGTGAGCGTCGCGTCTCGTCTTGAAGTGTCGTGCATGCATTTTATGCAGCTGTTCCCCCTTTGCATGCACTCTCTCTCTTCTCTCCCCTCACCTCTCCTCTCCTCTCCTCTCCTCTCTCGATCCAACAACAACGACATCAAACAACACACTTTCCGCGCCCGCCTCCCGTCGCTGCTTGGGTCGTCGCGCCGCCTTCAGCTCCGAGTTGTGATTCGCTCCCCTTCCCTTCCCTTCCCTTCCCTTGAGTGTTTGTGTTTCTGCGGGAGACGACTCTGCACTGTTAGATCATGCTGCCCTCCCTACTTATTGTCTCGATTCCTCTGCTGATCTGCATGCTGATTAACTCCTCCTCCTCCTCCTGACTCTGCTTCCCCTGCTTCCCACCCCGAGGTTCTTGCCTTCGCCCTTCTTGTGCCTCCCCGCATCATCGTCGGTTGTATCGCACGCCGTGCATGCATGTCTTGTGCTTGTTCCTTGGCCCCTGAATTCGCGATCGATCGAGAAGAAGGGGTTTTTCGTGGGTTTTGGGGCTCGATTGGTCGTGATCTCGATCGATTTGGGTTCGGATGGGGTCCATGATTTGCATGAACGAATCCTGCGGGTCTCCTTGTCCCGAGTGGACCAAGGGTTGGCCTCTCCGATCTGGTGGCCTCGCTCGTCTCTGCCTCCAGTGCGGGTATGTGTGCTCTTCCTTCTCTTCCTCCCTGTCCTTCTCAGTGCCTGCGGTTCTTCTATCTATCTCTCCGTCTGTGTTTTTTTCTTTTCTTTTCTTTTTCTTTTTAAATTCTCATCACGGGATGCATTTTCCCCTCCGAAATTCGACTAGCATTATTCTTCATGCTTCCGATTAAGCCGCTAGAATCGTTGATTTCATCGCCAGATTTACGAGAGCAGCTGTTTTACTGCCGAGAATGGAATTGGAGTAGTCCGGATGACACCGACATTTACCGGTCCCTCCCCCCGTAGCTCGTGTGCTCTATTTTTGAGGGGGAGGACACTAGATTTGGATAAAGATGTGGAATTTGTAACTGTGGATTACTGACTCGGAGTTCTCGACTGCTGCTTACAGCTTATAATCATCATCAACAATGCTTAGATAGACGGTCCGCCGGTTTTGTAGCATCAAAAAGGGATGAAATAAAACTCGTCTATGGAACCGGTGGGAGTTCAAAAATATGACCACAACGATCTTTTCTTTTTCTAGATTGCCTTCGGGGAGTCTCTGTTCATGGACTAGTCATATCCATCTGTTGTTCTCATGGCCAATTTGCAAGATCAATAGAAGCCATCATCATATTGTCTTTCTCTCGTTTGATTAAAACCGCTGCCTTTACATTTCGGTTATTGCTTTGGGACTTACTGTTCTTTAATCCCTATATTCCTCAGGTCTGCCTACGAGAATTCCTTGTACTGCAATCTTTTTCACCAGGAGGAATCTGGCTGGAGGGAATGCAGATTTTGTGGCATGGTAATCTCTCTCTCTCTCTCTCTCTCTCTCTCTCCCCGTTTTGTGCTTTTTTCCCCCCTTTCTCTATTTCTTTACTTTTTCACTAAATTGTATTCTGCTGTGGCAGCGCCTCCACTGTGGATGCATTGCCTCAAGTTCTTTGGTCGAGTTCATGGACTCTGGAGGTGTCATGTGCATTTGTTGTTCAAAGAAGCAAACTCATCCAGTAAGATTTGCTCTCAACATTCAGTAAGCAGTAATTATCTTTTTTGATTATTTGTAGTAGGGCTAGTTTAATGCTGAAGCAGTGTGGCATGAACATGGTTCTTGCTATTGGAAAGTGTCATATATAGCATTCGTAAATAATACAGTTGAACTGCATTGTGAATCTGTAATTGAGTTTCTTCAGACTTTTATTTTTTAGAAACATTAGCTTTAATTGAAGATTATTCGACTTAAGTATATGGTTTTGGCATTTTAAAGTTAGAGATGGAAAGATCTTTGGGCTTTCTGTTGAAATCATCTTGGTGGGGATTCTGTGTCTGCTTGTTGACTTTTTTCTCGCACATGTTCTTGGGCTTGAAGCAACAATCCTAAAGCACTGCTGAATGGGTACTGAGTGGTCCTATGCCTTATGGCGTAGAATCTCGGGGGCCCTTCAATTTAAGGTTTTTCCATATCCTTTCATGTTATATATGCTCTTCTCTATTTCTTGATTGACTGGAATCACATATAGAAAGTCGACTTGGTGGGAAGCTCGACTTTCCTTTTTTCTTTAGTTAAGAAGCTCAGGACAATCTGGTAGAGTATTCCTGTCGTCGGAAAATAGTTTTATCAGAGCTGTATATCAATTGTTTTCCATCAGACGTGTTCTGTGACTTAATTTGTTATTGTGGCATAATGAAAACCTGGGATTTCATGACCTGAAGGCCTTCATTTTGATCTGTTTTTATGCATAGTATAACTATTTCTTCATATCCTTTGATTCAGAATCCATGTCAGTTGATTTAGGTTTAAAGTAAGTGAATTAGTTGTGTATTGAGCTTGCTGATGATTATAAATGATGATCTGCAGTCCACTTCAACTGAAGATAGAGGAAGAGATGAGGAGAAGCTGATGCAGTTATACAAGTTCGTGTCCAATGAACCAAAAATTTTGCTTCAAGCTCCTAGAGATGATATTCGTGCTTCTTATGGGGAAGTACAACAAGAGACAAGACCCTTCAGTGGGGAAGCTGCTATTGATTTTTCACATGGGACCGACCCCACAGGAGGATCACGTAAATTGACAAAATTGGAGGACAGCAGATTCTTGCTTAAATTGAAGGATACACACAGATCTCTTCCACATCCATCTCTGAACATCAGTTTGGGATCCCTAGGTGTAAGTTCACATATCGCACTGCCTTTCTCTGGAGGGGTTGGGGAAGGAAGTCAAACCGAGGGGCCTTCTTCCCTCCAGCAAGGACCGAGGTCTTGTCCAATCTTGCCTAAATTTTCTAAAAGTGGCGTAGCAGGCCCAGAGACAATTAAAATTCCTCCAGTGCGTGTTGCAAGGCCACCCGCTGAGGGGCGGGGAAAGAATCAATTACTTCCTCGATACTGGCCGAGAATCACTGACCAGGAACTGCAGCAATTGTCTGGAGAGTATCCTTGATTAAAGTGTGCTACTTGCTTAGGGTCTTAAAAATCTTCCTGGACGGGGATTTTCTGGTTTAGATGATTATTTGTAAATGTTATTTGAAGAGAGATTTGAACTTAACCACTTTTAAGTTTGAACTCTACTATCGTGCCCCTTTTTGAGAAGGTTCTCAGCGCAAGTGATGCTGGTCGAATTGGTCGTCTGGTCTTGCCGAAAGCTTGTGCTGAAGTAAGTGTTCAAGATTTCAAGACATACTAAAAACTCTGTTTCAGCTTTCTCTGTAAGTCTGAGTAACTTTATAAGCTGGAAATTTGTGCAGGCATACTTCCCTCCTATATCTCAATCAGAAGGTATTCCAGTGCGAATTCAAGATGTAAAGGGGAATGAATGGACTTTTCAGTTTAGATTTTGGCCCAATAATAATAGCAGAATGTATGTTTTGGAGGGCGTTACGCCTTGCATACAGTCTATGCAGCTCAGAGCTGGCGATACAGGTATTCTATTTGCTATTCTCAGCAAGATGTTCTAGCGTGTAAGTTCCTAGACTGCGAGTAAAAAGTAGAACATATTTTGTGTGCATTTGCCATGGCAGCTAGCACACAGGGAACTAGATCACTAAGGTTGTCATAATTGAGCATGTATATTTGAAGGCAGTTTATGTGATAAAATTGTGTTCGACTCTTATATGGTTAATGCACTATGAAAGTCATTTGTGCACTAATCAAAACATGGTGATTCGTTTTTAATATAAAAAGGTTTAATAAGAGTTCATCTCATATTAAAGATAAATGAAACATCTTACTTTTGCTGTTCGGTTATTATTGTACAATCTTAGGAATTGTGGACTTGAGGTTAACCTTTTATCATTCCCCAAATCTTCGGATGCCATTCTGGTTTTCTTTCGCTAGGTGGGTTCTATCTTTCTCATCATTCATATATGCAGAGTCTCACCCTCTTTGCTTTATGACAAGCGCTCTGCTTTTAATTGAGAGTGCCTGTTTTGATTTTTTTATCATGTGCATCGACATGTAGTTTTTTAGCCCGCTTCCTTTTCCTTTTAATTTTTCTTCAGTACGTCATTTGAGTGAGAGTGCGCAGTTAAATGCTTATTGGGCTCTTTTTAATTGCAGTAATATTTAGTAGGATCGATCCCGGAGGCAAACTTGTTATGGGTTTTCGCAAGGCATCAAACTCTAGTGATCCGCAGGTCAAACTCTATAGGCCTTCTATTTTCTCTGTTTATATCTTTGGCGTTCCCTCATGTGAAGGTACTTTGTTATCTTATAATGGTGTACTGATGAAACAAGCAGGACAACCAAGTATCCATAGTCCCTAATGGGGATTTATCCAGGGAAGGTTCCTTCCAGCCCTTCATGGGGAGTCTACCCATAGTTGATGATTACTCTAATCTTTTCCGGACTGCAAGTGGAATCAAGGATCCTCGCTTGAATCCTTCGTCTGAGCTTCTCAGAAATAACGATGGTGACACCTTTTGCGACAAGACTGAGGACGATGTGGGCAGGACGTGTGAAGATCCGGCCCAACAAGCATCGCCGATTAGCGAAAAGAAAAGGACTCGTAACATAGGGTCTAAAAGCAGGAGAATGCTAATACATAATGAAGATGCTCTGGAGCTTAGACTTACATGGGAAGAGGCTCAAGATTTGCTACGACCCCCACCATGTGTAAAACCAAGCATTGTCACTGTTGAGGGGCACGTTTTCGAAGAATATGATGTAACTCATACTGTTTGTTTTTCCCTTTACGTGTGCAAAATCATACTTTCTGCCCTCATGTGCTTCTGCTTATTAACGTGATCAATCTTCAACTAATGTAGGAACCCCCAGTATTTGGGAAGAGGACTATATTCGTAAGCCAGCTATCTGGGTGAGGCTATGTTTTGCTGTTTTTGAGTGGGCACGGCACCGTTCATTCTAATGACAGTTATTACAAACTGCTAATACAAGATGTCGACAAATTGATGATTATGAACAGTGTTATGAATAGTTGTGAACAATAGTGAAATTTTTTTAATTATATCACATTGAAAGGAGTGAACTTTGTTTCTGACAGGGGACCCGAACAATGGGCTCAGTGTGATGACTGCTCCAAATGGCGAAAGTTGCCTATGGATGTTCATCTTCCTCCAAGATGGACATGTTCAGACAATGTCTGGGACTCTGGAAGGTGCGAATTGCATTGGTGCTTGTGGTGGTTATATCGTTAGCATAATCATAGGAATTAGGATGGAATATTGTTTCCATCTCCCTGAAGAGTTTTATTTGTGTTGCAGGAGAATCTGTTCCGCACCGGATGAGATGAGCCCAGAGGAGCTGGAGAGTCTTCTTAGAGTGAGCAAAGGTATCAGTAGAGAACTTTTGCTTTTGCTTTGGGTCAACTATACTAGATTGACAATTTGTTGCACTGTCGTCAGTTGAATTGTGTTTTTGGTTTTAGTTCTGCGTAGGATGTTGAATTGTGCATTGGGGACTTATTTTTCTATCTGATCTTTTCTTTTGGGCAGAGTTTTGTGGGTTTATTCGATCTGAGAGGATCATATAGTTGCTCTGTCCCTTATATAATCTGTGGTACCTCTTTTGGTTCACTTATATAAGGATATCCTTGCCCTGCTGCTTATGTTTTGTTTTCCTAACTGTTCCCATCACAGAAGTGCTGCTAAGTTTTGGTTCTTGATAAATTAGAAAAGCAGTTTTGTCACTTCCTTCTCAATGGGATTATGTTTTTCCACTCCTCCTCTCACTCTAACAAAAGATCTGTCTGATCCTTGTTAAGAGGAAGTACATACAATCACTGGCAATTCTACCTGGCTGTTGGGGGGGTTTTCTACTACGATCTTATGAATAGTCTTTTGTGATCATTATATTGGGTGGGAAGAAATATGACGCCCTCACAATCTAGTCTTCAAGGAGGTTAGGTGCTCCAACTTATCTTGAAATTGTTATACCAATGGATAACAAATTATGCGGACAGCTCCAGGCTCTTTTCTAAGTTACTTCTTTGGATATTTACTGATATTGGTACATAAAAATCCTTGATCAATTTCTCATTGGCATGCTTGGTGACTGGAGTATCCAAAAGATGGAAGTGGGGGGTGATTAGAACAAGGGTGAATAAGAGCACTTGGTTGTCCATTTCTACGGACACTTGACAGGAGACCTATACAATACTACGTGGACTCACTAAAAATCTTCTGATGATATCTTTTCCTATGATTCTTCACTTTTGTTATTCTCTCTCAGTCAACTTGTGCCTGTTCTGATATCTTCAGAGTTTTCATAAATGAATGTGCAGATGTTAAAAGACAAAGGGTTGATGAGGACCATAGGAAAGATACAGATGGTGAAACTTCAGGCTTGGATGCTTTAGCTAGTGCTGCTGTTCTTGGGGAGAGCATAGAGGACCCAGGTAAGCCATCGTGTGGGGTCACCACAAAACACCCTCGTCACCGTCCAGGTTGCACATGCATCGTGTGCATCCAACCCCCCAGTGGGAAGGGTAAGCACAAGCCCACATGTACCTGCAATGTGTGCATGACAGTGAAGCGCCGCTTCAAAACTCTGATGTTGCGGAAAAAGAAACGCCAATCAGATCGGGAGGCTGAAACTATACACAAGGACCTGATTCATTATGGTCATGAGTTAGGAATTGACGGAGCTTCATTCGAGATAAATCACGGAGAGAGTGTAACCAGCCAGAATAAAAAAACAGAGGTGGCAGATAGCAGCAATGGCCACATTGACCTGAACTGCCACCCCGACCATGAGAACGTGCAGCTCGAGGGAGAAATATGCAGCATCATGGGGTTTACTCAAGAAACTAAGTATCCTTCAGGGAATGATTCAACCCACGATGTGATTCCCACCTTGCAATGTGAGCATCTAGCCAGCACAAGCTCCGGTTTGTTTGGACAAACCGTTGAAGAGAAGGGGAAACGGCTGACTAATGGAGAGTGCCTTCCATCCATTTTACATGAAACCAACGATGCGGGCGATGAAGGGTAGGCCGAGGCACTTAAAGTCTCTGCTGAAACATCTTTTGGTTGAGGTTGGACTTTTCGAGTTTACATTTGTCTCCTCTTTTTTTAAATTTGAGAAATTGCAAAATGTTCCTTAAGGGGTTGGTGAGTGTTGATCCGGAACGAGTTCGCTCCACAATTTTGGGACTTTTGCCATGTCATTCCGTGTTTGGTATAGATTTTAGGCTTGAGAAGGGATAATAAGTTTTCTGTGTTTGAGATGCGATATAGAGTGCCCATCAGATTATTTGAGAAGCCTTTCTCCTTCTGTTGGTTATCTTGATCTTGCTCTTCAGATGTCACAATGTCCGAGGATATACTTGTATTTGCTTAAAACTCCAAAGTCTACCAAACCTCGTAGAAGAAAGTAACTGCGGGGAGAGTCTCCTCGGGAGTGCTCTCGACCTCAAGTATCCCACAGTCCAATGGGCTTGTGTGAATGACTTAATGCAAGTTGCTGCCCTCGCCAAGCATAATAAAGGCACAAATGACCCGGCCAGATTTTACTAAATCTCTTATTGATGGTCAGTCGGTCTATGTTCGAAGTGATCTTTTCTTTTTTTCTACTTAATAATTTGCTAGCGTTCGGGGCTTGAAATTTACTTAACGCGCAACACCAAAGTACCTTGAATCTTGTAAAAACCAACAGAATTGAGAAGAAGATACATATATGAAACATAATGAAAAGTGAGCTCGGGGTTGGTCTTCCTAGGCGGTTTGGAAGCGAGGTTGGTACACTAAAATAGAAGTAAAATCTCGTGATAGACAGAAGCATTTTGACCAGGTAATACTAAAGAAAGAAGAGAGAGCTTATAGTTGAAATCCGGCAGGCCGGTAACTTTGTCTCTCCCACAACACGAACCTTAAGAAGACGCGTTTCTAGGTCTCCTTAGTTGCCCCGCTGTCCGAGAGAGAGTCTCTAAATTATCTGACATTCTCCTCTCTTTTATTTTTTTTTCTTTTCGACCGGCCCGATCACTTTGGCATTTTAGTACCGTTCCCCCTGTCCTCAGCAATCTGCCAAACCGAAAATAACAATTCACCCGCTCTTTGGTCTTTCCACCCCTCCTAAGAAAATCCATACATCTCCTCTCTTCCTCTTTGTCTTCCTGTCAATCTGTCTAGTACAGCAGCACCGAGAATGGGGGAGAAGGCAACCATGGCGAAGGCGAGGATGGAGCTCGAAGAATTGTACCTGGGCATCCCCGATGAGTCGGTCAACTTGACATTCCAGGACCTTGCTGACGTGAAGAAGCATGCCCATCGTCATCCTCTTCATGCTCTCTCCTCCTCCTCCTCCTCCTCCTCCGCCACCGCAACTGCCGCTGCCTTGGACCCCATCTCTGAAAACAAACCTACAAAATCAGATGCGGCAGCAGCAGCAGCATCTCCTGTCTTCAGGAAACTGCCCAGTCTCGATTTCAGTAGAGGCTTGCAAGCATCAAACCATCACCATCCCCTTAATCAGTCTAACCAACTCTCCAGGGACACCCGGGATTCTCCATTAGGCCATCGATCCTATGTCGGCGAGGACCATAATGACGAGTACCGATATGGACATAGCCGTGCAAGCTCCGGCAGAAACACTCACTTGGACATGAGGCGTACAGGTATGGCGGAGAACATCAGCATGGCTCATGATGACATGACTAGCATGAGCATGAGCATGAGCGTCAGCATGGCCGCTCATGGCCAAAGACGGCGACCCGGCGTCCCCCACTCCAATATCTGCACCATCTGCTCGACTTACATCTACATCTTCCGACATCGCTGCCTCGTACGTATTCATTAGACTTGTAATATACTTATTGGCAGCTGCGTTACAGCGATGTGATGGATATAGTAACACAGAAACAAGTAACCATTAACGACGATGAGGTTACTGTGTGCAGGTGTGCGGAAGGGTATACTGCAGGCAGTGCGTGAGCATAGGCATGGGAGAGATGACCGAAGGTAGAAAATGCATCGAGTGTCTTGGCCGGAGATTTAGCCAAAGGTACGCCATCATCATCGACCCCCATCCCACCGGCTTCCTTGATCGATATACTAAAGAAAATACTTGGATTATCCTCATCCATCTGTTGATCTGGCTCTCTGTCACCACTCATCCAACAGCATCCACATGCATCCAACAGCATCTAGCTCAATACGTATTAATGTGTATGGTAACATGTGTTGTGTTCGGATACATACAGGTACATCCAGAGAGCAGGCCAAATTGGGTGCTGCTCTAGGTATCCAAGCATAGTGAAGCAAGCAGAGCTGAAATGGGCCGAGAAAGGACCGAGGAGGAACGCCGAGAGAGCGTATGGCCACGGCGGTGGCCGCAGCCATATGGTCTCGGGGTCCAGAAGCCCAGTCACCCCGAGGACCCCGACCAGGGCCCATCCCAGCAGCACCGGCATCAACACAAGCAATCCTCCTTCCTTTGTCTACTCCCCTTACTCTCCTCACAGCCACCACCACCTTCCTTTCTAAATTTCACGAAGACTTGTCGATTTGCTCTTTGATCCTTTTGCATATCTTTCTGGTCATTTATAGTATCATTTATATTATTTTGGGGTCAATCCTACTAATGGGGAAGAGGATCGTCTCCTACCTCAGTTGGGTTTATCTATTGCTTGCTCGCTTTATGACATCTCTATAAAATTGAAGAGCTTATTCCATGCGTCTCATTCTTTGTACATCTAAGGGAAGCTACTTTGCTCGTTCGAAACTGAGTTGAAACGGTTGAATGGTATTATACTAAATTACTACAGCTCGATTAACTTAGATATGGACTAGTTAGAAGAACCAAACTTGACAATTACTTTTAGACCGAGTGATTCATGTGAAGTCCAAATTCGACAATCGAATTGTTCTAATCGGGGTGTGACAGATAGTGATTCGCGTTACCATTTGCGATAATTCTCAAAATTCTTTTTGGTAAATGATTGAGGAGAATTAACACCCTTCCAAATTTGAGCCTTGGCAATTCGAGGCTCCACTACTAAATTAAATGTTTAGGATCCCCATCCAACTTTCGAAACAATCGCAGGGACTAAGACAGATATCAAATTTCATGTGTTTTTTTTCCTATTTGTAATTTGAAAACCAAAGGCTTCACAATTTCAAGCCAGTCTTTGATATCCAGATCGGACCGGCCTAGTCTGTTTAATTTTCTGTTGCAAATACAAGGGCACCATTTGCAAAGGTGTGCTCCGACAATAATATTTAGTAGTAACCTGATTCAACAAAATGTATTTCGAAGTTCCAATGTATCTCGCCACTGCTTCATACTTGGTCCATTCAAATTAAACACCATGTACCCCATTTTTGTGAATTTTTCTTTTTTGCTTTGAAAGACGATAAAATAGTTTATCGCACTTGAAATAACATGATTGATGTAGTAAATAAGATAAAAGTGATATTATGTGCGAGTGTCGGGTCCAAGGTTTCATCTCCTTCGATTCAACATAACTTTGACATGTGACTTGATGTGGAATTAAGTGGTATATCACGAGTGCCATGAATTAAACTTTGGCAAAACCTTTCTTTCCCAAAGTGCTTGGCAATTTAATCTTTTATTTTTGTCGAAGCATAGATTCACTCCTTTCTATTTCTTATTTGTGCAAGATTGTAATATTTAGATTTGTTACTTAGGCTTGTTTAGTTGGCCTCCACTCATTCCAAGTAATCACATTTTGAATTTTTCGTCAGATTAGAAATAATATTTATGTTTAGAAAACTTAAACAATATTTAGAGTGAATTTAAATGCTAATACTTTTCTTGTACTTGACAAAGAAAAATGGAATTACTTGAATAGTAGGAATAAATCATAAAAACTTTCAATTCACAATATAGATCATTTGATCATGTTAATAATGTCTATTCACGAAACAAATGGGTTATGTTCAACTTAGTATGTATACAAAACCTTCATGAATTTTCATTTTAATTAAAGTCGTTAGCTTGCAAACTATTTTTCAGTTTGCACGTGCCTAACATGTGATTTTTCAATTGCAATAGTGTAACTCCTCTCGATTTTTTTTAGTCAAATCACTCTTTTTCTATGAATAGTCTTAAATAAATTAAACTCTATACAAGAATTAGAGAAAAATAATAAAAAAAAGTATTGATCAATAACGAAATGTGAGGACATGATAATATTAATGACAAAAACAATAAATTGGTTGACTTCATAACAAAAGTTTTTCGATTTTATCTCGAACATTTAATATTATATTTGGAATGTATAAATACTTTATTATCCTTATATCCTTCACTAGTTAGCAGCTTAAAAGGACCATGGCCATTGATATGATTACAGTTTTGCACGCTTGTAAATTTCTGCACAATACAACACGACGCACGCAAACGAAATGTTGACACCTATTTTTTTATTGCCCAATTAAATTACGTAAAATTTAGGGGTTAATGTCATTGATTCCTAAACAAAAAAAAAATATAATTTCAATTGCATTGCATATAGACATTAAGTGCATTTTGCAAGATTATAATATATTTTTCTTCTTTTATTAAAACAATTTAAATTTTTTAAAAAAATTAATTTTTAAAAAAATAATAATAATAATTAAAAAAACAAAAACAAAAACAAAACAAAAAAATCTTGATCGGGCCGGTCCTGACCCGGCCCTTCCTTCTCTTTTCTTCCCCCACGCGGGTCCAGCCCACTCCTTCTTCCTCCTCCTTCCTCGCACGAACCGACCCCTTCCTCTCTCTTCCCCTTGCGCGGCTGACGGCCACAGCCACTTCCTTTGCCCACACAAAGCCCGACCATCTCCTTCACCGCTCAGCCCCGCCCCTCTTCCTCTCTCCTCTTCCCCTCCCCTTTGCCTTGGATACCGAGAAGTAGAGGAACAGGCCACTCCCCTGCACCGGCCTAGAACAACCATACAAGTCAAGTGCCTAGAGTAGGCCGATGTAGGCCATCACAGGGTGAGTTAATGGAGCAGAGACAAGTTGTCTCTGACCATAAAAGACTAGAGAAGAAGAGAGGACAAGGGGCCAGAATAAGGAAAAAAACAGGGGAAGGGGAGTTCATTGAGAAACCGTGAGCGAGAGACCCAGAGAGATTCAGAGCGACAACCAGAGAGGGAAAGGGTCTTCGCCGGCGACCACCGTGCCTCGACCTCAACCACCAATCCTCGCCGCCGAGCCGGGGACAGACCCAACTAGAGAAAGAGAGAAAACAGAGCAGAGAGGGAAAGGGAGAAAGAGAGAGATTGAGCGGGAAAGATCGGGTCTTTCGTTGGCAGGTAAAAGGACTAAGCCCCAGGAGCCTCCCCATCGAGCCAGAGTTGGCGACAATCCTTCGAACTGACACTTCCGACCGGTGAGTTCATTCAGTTCTATTTTGCCCTGTATTTTGTGCGTCAGTTGGTCGAGACTCGCGCCGGTCATTTCGAGCAAATCCTGGCCCATACCAATCCTTCCCCCGATCTATACTCGCCGTCCGAAGCGAGTCGTGGCCGTTGGAGCAGGCCGAAGCCCCGAAACAGGTCAGAGTTTCCTGTTTTCGACCGTGAAGACCAATTGTTTGATGAAATGCCTCAATGAGGCAGTGTTGGTTTTGGTCACTTGCTAGCGCGCAGGTGGTCGAACGGTGAATTAGGTGGCCTGAGAAGGCCTTGTGGTGGTCTATATAGGCAGGAACCAGGCCGGAGTTGGCCTGGGTCGGCCGGTGAGATGCCGGATCTCGCCTGGCCAACGTCCCGTGTGCTTGTGCACGCGGGGGCCAACCCAAGCCCGGCCTGCATACTGGTCAAACTAGTCTGCAGGCCATTTAGGGCGGGTTCGAATGAGTCGAGCCCGCCCTATTTTGTCCTTTTCCACCCGGGGGGGTGGTGGGGGGAATATTATATTAATATTTATTATTTTTATTCTTAATTAATTTTTTTAAAACAAAATTATTTTTATTTTCTTTTAAAATTAGGAAATAGTTTAGAAATTAGTATTTTTGAATATTTTTCTAAATTATGTAAATTATTTTATTAATAATCATGTTTAAATCGGATAATCCTATAGGACTATACAGAAGTATTTTGCAGGCTATTTGTACTACTGTTATATTATGCCTGTTATATTATGCGTGTTGTTTTTTATTAGAATATAATTGCATCAATTGTCATGTTTTGTATGTTGTCACTTTAGTTGGGATTAGAGCCCTAGACTGTATATCTATCTTGATTGCTAATTATTAATAATTGTGTACTCGTTTGATCACCTTACATGTTAAGAGATAGGTCATAAAATCAATCCAAATTGTCTGACAAATATTTTCTCAAATGAACAGGATGAAAGGAACCGAAAGGGCACTAGTCACTCAACTAGTGTAACCAAGTCCCTGAATTTATTTAATCTCTAGTTTATAGGAATAGGGTGATTCTCCCGTCACCTTACTTGGGCTTTTAATCGACCTATCCCAGACTAATTAGTGACAACTTCTGGATAAAAATCACTTAAAAACTTAAACTCTAAGTCGCGATATTATATGGATTTAGGAAAGCCCGAGTTAAGTCCTAGACCTAGACTTAGCGCGGACCAGGCGAGACACCCCGTTTTTTGAAAATAAAACAGGAGGTCAGTCGCAACATGAAAAAAACTATTAAACAAGACTAAATAAAAAGAGATTTGCTTAGAAAAATAAAAGAAATGAAATCGAATCGTCTTTCAATTAGGGAGAAACAATTTACAATTAGATGAGCAGAACCACTTCAGCAATTATGGCCAGAAACGCCAACATAAGTGGTGCCCGTGGTTTCTTAATTAAAAAGTACGAAGCAAGATAAATTATTTTAAAATTGAAAAAGTTAATTAAAATCAAATAAAAAAGAGAAAGACATCATTTACTTGTTTTCGTGCCAGTATTTTACAAGAGATAATGACGTAAACAATTCATGAATTTTGGTCCAATATGTAATAGGATTCCTAAACTTTTAATTTTTTCAATGTGGTCTCTGAACTTTAATCCAATGTGCAATGTAGTCCCTGAACTTTTAATTTATTCAATATTATCTTTAAACTTTTAGTACATGTTCAGTTTAGTTCCTGAACTATGTGAAAATGTTCGATGTAGTCCTTCCATTAATTCAAGTTCAAGGTCTACGTTGAATAATTTCATATAATTCAGAAACTGTGTTGAATATGTACAAAAAATTCTAAGAACCACATTAAACATATTAAAAGTCTAGGGACTATATTGAACATGTTAAAATTTCAGGGACTATATTGAACATTGAATCAAAGTTCAGGAACTTTTTATGTCATTGTCCCATTTTATAAAGACCATTGCATCATTTTTTTTTGCATTCATTTTTTAAGTTTTAACACATCCGAGGGTAAAGGAGTGATCCCACTAAAAAACATAAAAATGAAGAGACTTGCAATTTAACCTTACATAGACTAGGCAAGGCAAGGCAAGGCAAGGCAAGGCAAGGCAAGTACCAAACGGAGAAATAGATGGAGGTTGGACGGCGATAACAAAATGAAAAGTTAAGGGCAGTTTTGTACGATTGTTAAAAGTTTGGGGGCAAATGCGCATCATCTCGAAAATTCGGGGCATCTCGTGTAATTTCCGGGAATTAAGTTTATCAGGAGAATCGATGGTTTCGTCGCTTCGGGGGTGGGGGGGTGGGGGGGGGGGGAGGGGACGGGGCAAATGGGAATCGGATCAAAGTATAAAAGGAGAAGCGAGTTTCTCTTTTGCCTTTCTTCTCCCCTTCCTCTCTCCCCACGCAAAGCAGGAGAGAAGAGAAGAGAAGAGAAGAGAGGAGACCAGGCCTTGACGCTGCTGAACAATGGGGTCCCCTCCTGCGTTCTCGTCGGACGACCTCGTCGTCAAGTCGCCTAACGACCGCCGTCTCTACAGGTTCATCCGCCTCCACAACGGGCTCTGCGCCTTGCTCGTTCACGATCCCGAGATTTACCCCGACGGCACTGCCCCCGCTCGCTCCGGATCCCCCCGCGGCAGCGACGGCGATGAGGATTTCGACGAGGACGAAGAGGAAGAGGAAGAGGACGACGACGACGACGACGAAGAAGGAGGAGAAGAAGGAGAAGAGGACGAAGGAGACGAGGAGGACGAGGAGGAGGAAGAGGCACCCCGGCACGGCCAAACGAAGAAGGTCGCCCTTCTTCTCCTTCTCCTTCTTCCTTTTTGCCCTCCTCTCTGTGTTAGTTTGCCTTCGTTTTTTAACTAGTCGGAACAAAGCTAGTGCGGTGTGGAGGAGAGACCGTGCTTGTAATCAGCTCATCGCCTGCTGTTTTGATTCAGGCAGCGGCGGCAATGTGCGTGGGCATTGGCAGCTTCTCCGATCCTTACGAGGCGCAGGGTCTCGCTCATTTTCTAGGTTCACTTCTTTCTACCCACTTTTCGCATCTCTCCTTCGCTCTTCCCCTTATCAAAATCCTGAGGGATTTGGGTTTTGCTTTTCTGCAAGGGTGCGTTATTCAATGATTTCAATTCAATCCCTATTTGTCCCGCACTTTGGCTGTTCGAGACTTGCGGATTACATTCTCTTTTTATCAAGTGTAATTGCGGCCTTTGATTCCGAATTTACATATACCTTTGCAGAACACATGCTCTTCATGGGGAGTGCAGATTATCCGGATGAAAATGAGGTTGGTTAGTGTTGCCTCTTAGTTTAACATCTGTTGGAGTGCATAGAAGACTTGACGTGCTCATTTCCTTGCTTAGATCAAGTTTGGGTTTGTTTACCAAATGTATGGGTTGAAGTCAATCATGAAATATGCCTACGTGCTCTACTAGTACTATTTGCATGGTTTTGCTTGCATCGTGTGCTTGGAATCTATACTATGGCGAGCAAGCGGGAAAGCATGAGCAACTATTGATTGAAGTTATGTTTTTCTTTTCTTTTTTGGGTGAGTAGATTGGCAAGTTATTGAATCATGGAGACTCTCATATTATATTTACTATTTCTGATCTATAGAGTGCGGGGCTATTACATCTCGAGCCTCGCAGGTGTATCCTCTTGCAAATCACTGATGAAAACTACATAGGATCTTACTTAGATATTTGGGGTTGAGATGAAGCTCGATCCCCTCGCTTCATGATGGCAGATATTTTTAATTTGCTTACTTGGGCACATGCTTCTGCTTGATTCAAGAACTCTTTTAATTTGTATGTCTAAGAGATCAATGATGAGTCAGGGAAGGGTTGTTTCGCCTATGTGTTGACTTTCTTCTTTGCTAGTACGATAGTTATTTGTCCAAGCATGGAGGTTCCTCAAATGCATACACGGAAGTAGAGCACACCTGCTACCATTTTGAAGTCAAACGGGAGTTTCTGAAGGGCGCATTGAAAAGGTGAAGATCTAAATGTGCACTTTTATAAAGAGTCTCTTCCGCTGACAATGACGAAAAGGAAATGAGTATTTTCTGCCTATATGTTCATTTGCTTCTTATGTGTTCCGTAATTTGGAATGTGATTATAACTATGGCATTTAAGAAATGATGTTCATGCAGCATCAAATTTTTTTCTACAAAGCAACTCGTAATCGGTCGTATGAAATACATAAATATATTCTTGTCTGCTCCTGTTGCTTTATCAGATTCTCTCAGTTCTTTATTTCACCTCTAGTGAAAATGGATGCTATGGAGCGGGAGGTGCTTGCTGTAGATTCAGGTATTGTTATTTTTGTGGAGTTTATTCTCCAGAAGAGTTGCTGCTTAGATTTTCTCATTGAGTTAAGCTATGCGTATATTATATGGACGTGCTGCTAATAAATTCTGGAATTTTTCATGTGAGTCACTGCAAGCAGAGTTTAACCAGGTTATGCAAAGTGATGCTTGTCGTCTTCAACAACTCCAGTGTCATACTTCTACACCGGGTCACCCATTGAACAAATTCTTTTGGGGTGCGCTTCAATATCTGATATGTTCTCTCTTCATTCTTTGCGTGGAATGTGTTCTCATGTATATGTTGTCTGATGGAAGGGAATAAGAAAAGTTTGGTTGATGCAATGGAAAAGGGGATCAATTTGCGGGAATGTATTCTGAAGTTGTTCAGCGATTATTACCATGGGGCTCTGATGAAGCTAGTTGTTATTGGAGGGGGTAAGTGCACTTTGAATGTCACTTTTGGTGCTGCCACCTCTTTTACTTTCTTTTTTCCCCCTAATATACGGTGCATGGTATCTCACCTCTATGTACACTTGAATGGCATGAAATCAGGTTAAAACTAGGAATACATTTATATATCATGTTTAATTTGAATTGCATTTAACCATTGAGCAATGAAGGGAAATTTTGTTGGTTTTATGAAACTTAGGAAGGTTGTTTACTGTCATTTGGCATTCTGGGAGGGAAGTACAAATGTCAAAGTGATAAGTCATATGTTAAAGTTTTGCAATTGCAATTTTTTAAATCAATGGTCTCAGATTGACACATGGAGTTACAATGTCATCTTTTCTGCGAGGCTTTGTTCAAGTTTTGCAGCACGTAAGTCCAGTTTTTGCCCCCATTAAAGTGACTTTACGACATTGTTTTGAGAATTGGAAGGATGAGAGAACCAATTAGGTGTTCGGCTGGCGGCTATGTAGCACTAACACGTTCCAGAGGCCACCGTGTCGGTGTCCGACACCAACACGGTGGCCGACACGCTCGAACATGCTCGGACATGCGGTCAACAGGTGTCGGAAATCCGACACGCGGTCAACGCACCGAACACACCGGCAACACGCGAGTCCAGAATCCGACACGCAATTCCGACACGCACGGTAAAAAAAAAAAAGAAAAAAAAAGCAATAGGGAGAAAGAAGAAAGAAAAGCTTCCTCAGGTTAGATCCCTCGCTCACCAAAGCCATGAACAAGGACACATACGCCGCATTGTCCTTGATGCTCCCCTATGGTGAACGTGTCGGATGCCTTCTACTTGCCAATCCCGATCCCTTTCGACAGCGAGTACCTGTTGATCCTGAAGCGGTGAGAGCCATTGATGGTGTCGGTAATTGACGTCGACGAGGAGGAGGGAGAAGACAAAGAAGCCTCGACGAATTCTCTCGGAGAAATGGGGAACGGGGAGGTGGGGGATCTGGGAATCGGTCGGGATCAGGGGAGAGAATTTGTCGGGGGAGGGAGGATCTGGAAATCTAGGGTTTGGGATTGAGGAGGGAATTTGCGATTTTGGGGGAGGGGATGGGTAGGGTTTCGTCTAACTGAGAGAGAGAGAGAGAGAGAGAGAGAGAGAGAGAGAGAGAGAGAGAGAGAGAGAGAGGGGGGGGGGTGGGAAGGAAAGGTAATGAAACGACTGCGTTAGATTGACAAGGTTAAGGCTTATATTTGTAATGTTTTGTGGGAAAAAAACGAAAATGGTCAAGAGAAAAATATATATGGCCAAAGGAACTTTACTATATCACATGGCATAATAAAATATGTCATGAATAATTTATCAAATTAATTTGATTATTTTATTTATTTGTAGATTTGAATCAAATTAATTTGATTGAAATAATCGTAAAAATGATAATTTGTCATGTATATAAAAATATACATTTAATATACGTGTCGGAATTCTCTACTTTTTGAGAAATGACGTGTCGGCGTGTCGTGTCGTGTCGTGTCGTGTCGTGTTGTGCGTTGGTGTTGGTGTCAGTGCTACATAGGCTGGCGGTTCAACTAGTTGGAACGCTGGTCGATAGATGTTGATGTCGTATTCTTGCAGATTTTGTGCAAGTACACGTTTATGTTAAAATGTGGGATAGGGTTTGAGAAGGCCCAAAAGGATGTCAGAAGATGCTTTCAAGAAAAATCGGAGCATTTGATGACCTAGTATAGAGAACAACATAAGATTTATGTAACCAACCCTATTTAGAGGTAAAAGGCGGTTGTTATTATTGTTTTGAATCTTCATTGAAGTTGATGTCACCTTGATAGTCTATTGCGTATGGCACTTGGACACTCATGCTCGCATCACTTGATTGAAATACTCAACAATGTCACACCATGTCACTTTTGTTTCAAATAGGTGATGCTGGCAATCTGCCAGCTCAGCCTCATGACCATGCTTAGTCCTAGATCGGCCACATAGCCTAAAATGAAGTCCCATAACCAAGCTCAAAATTAGTGCAATTCCAACATGCAGAGATCCCACCCAAAGAAAGGTCACCTCAAGACCAGCTTGAGTCCAGGATTAGTGGATTTTATGACCGGGATTATCTGGTTTCCCCAAAGGTTTTGATCATGTGATTGAGACTCTTCTATGCCCTTTCATCGAGCAGATGTCTCCACAATTTTCCATCTTGGTCTTAATCGATTTAAAACATGATCATGGTCCTGGAGCCATTCGAGAACTGAGAGAGGAGACTGTCCAGCGAGATACAATTCCATGTCAAACTGGATAGTCAAAACCTTAGCTGATTTGGATGAGCAATCGTAGAAGAACAGGGGTTTCATCTAGTTTTTGACCATCTGTGGCTAAATAAAGCAAGCAGGATGTAAGGCCACTACTCGGTCTAACTGGTTGATTACTTTTAATTTCCAAGATTCTTGCTAGTTTCTAAGTTTGAATCTTATTGCCAATACGTTCCAAACACTTGTTGCCGGATAACGCCTACCAGACAAGGCAAGATGGACTGGCTTAATGTGTGCCCCTCCCAGGAAAGAATGATGAGCTAGGCCAAAGGCATGAGATAGATGAGCAAAGGTCAGAACTTCTGGTAATCGTTCTGGTTCATTTGAAGCAATGGTTAAACTGGGCTAATTCGGGTTTTGACGAAATTCAGGATGTAATGGATTAGTGAGTTCCCAATGTTGACTGGCGTGGTTCAATCAGTCCAATCAGCCATCCAATTTTCGTGACAATAAGAATTTGTTGATAAAACGAGAAACCTTGATGTTGGGGAATTTGATAAGACTTCTTATGGACTTCTTGTAGATTAATGGGATTTGACTCAACTGCATTGTGCACAATATCAAGCTAAAGAAGTCGAGTACCTCTTATGTGGAAGTAGATACATTTTCCCTATGTAAGAAGTAGCTAATAGGATTTTATCAGTGTTTTCTACTGCTGTAAGTTTCAGATTAACTTCTGTGGTATGAATATTGTGGTTAGATGTAGAATAAGATGGTATAATTTGGTGAGTTTCATAGTGTAATTTGTTGGCTTTTGTTGTGCAAACGTGAATCCTCTCATGTGCTGCAGAGCCTCTGGATGTACTCGAGAGTTGGGTGGTGGAATTATTTGGTAAAATCAAGAAAGGTCCTCCAGTTCAGTTTGAGTATGGAAAGGAAAGAGCTATCTGGAAAGCTGGTAAAATTTATTGGTTGGAAGCTGTCAAAGATGTTCATGTCCTCGACTTAACATGGACGTTGCCATGTCTGCGTCAACACTATTCAAAGAAATCGGAAGATTATCTAGCACATCTTCTCGGTCATGGTACTTTATTTTATTTGTATTATGCTATTCTTTGTACTCTTGCTATTCTCGTCGTAATGTTTTTTTTTTCGCCCTACTGTTTCTGGCTTATTCCTATCTTCCCATAAATCTTGATGGAGGAGACTGCATCTTGGTTTTGCCTTCATCTAGAGCTTCTATGGCTAGTAATTTTTGTGAGTGAATAAATAAGTATATGAATATGTGTGATTGTTTTGTATGTATGTATCTCTATCTATGTTTATACAGACAGACACCCGGAGGGCAATTTTGTGGTAGGAAGGTTTGGCTTCACTCATCTTATATGCACAGTGCCCGCATTCTGATGCTTGAGTCTGATATACTTGTAAAAGAATTTGAATTACAGAATCCACAGGAGAAGGTTATGATAACTTGGACAAAAGATAGTTCTGTCGTGCATATGCTTGTAATTCCGCTGAATGCATATAAATTATATAAATGTACATACAGAAGAATATCTCCATGAGCTGTTTTTTTTTTTTTTTTTTGGTAAGGATATCTCCATGAGCTGTTCATCCTCATATATTCCTAGATTATCTGTTTTTTGCACAATTTACTTTTAGATGATAAAATATAGTAAATTTTCAGAGGGAAGAGGAAGTCTGCATTCATTTTTTAAAGCTAGGGGTTGGGCTACTTCTCTATCTGCTGGCGTAGGGGATGAAGGACTACATCGATCTTCAATAGCGTATGTGTTTGGGATGTCTATTCGCCTAACAGACTCAGGCTTGGAAAAGGTAGCATGGATTTTTTTTTTTTTTCCATTTAGAAGTCTTGTAAGCTGATATCTCACATAGTGGCTCATTTATTTAAACAAACTCCTCTCCATTTAAATCTGTGTTTATTTGTCTCATGTATTTATCTTTTTTGTGTGCTTATTCCACAGATCTTTGAGATGATCGGCTATGTTTATCAGTATCTCAAATTATTGCGTCAAGTTTCTCCCTCAGAATGGATATTTAAGGAATTGCAGGATATTGGTAACATGGAATTTAGATTTGCCGAGGAGCAACCTCAGGATGATTATGCTGCTGAACTTGCTGGTATGTACTGTTAGATTTTTGAAGCTGACTACTATGATTGCAGGCTATGTTAAGAGTCATTGGCTCATTTCCAAATTTGGAACCCCAAAGGACAAATTTCTTCCCGTCAAACACTTAAATCCAGTATTTAGCGGGCGTGTCAATCATATTTTAGCTATTGCTGTTGGATGGGTTCACACTATTTTAGACTGAAAGGCTATTTATTGCCTCGATTGATCATCTATTTATTGGAAGAATTGACATCACAATTCAGCAAAAATAAAGCAAATCCTTTTCTCACTTGTCCTATGGTGATGGCACAAGTTGCTATGTCTTTTCTCTTCTTCTTCTGGCATATTTCTTTCCCAAATTGATGAATATTGAGCTAACTCTAGGATCAGATACTTTTGCAAGACTGAATAGAGCTTGTTTTGTTGTTTGGGCTTCTTCCTTCATTCTTCAACTATGGTTGCCATTACCCATTTAATGGACTTAAGCTATGTTGATTAATCTTATTGCAGAAAACTTGCTTGTTTATCCAGCTGAGGATGTTATTTATGGAGACTATGCTTACAAGGAATGGGATGAGGGGATGATTAGGGACCTTTTGGGTTTCTTCTCACCTGACAATATGAGGATTGATGTTTTGTCAAAATCCATCAACAAGTCAAAAGGTAGCGTCACATTTGACTTTGCGGGCTTGCGGTTATTGCTGGCTTCAGTTCTTGTTGGAAGAAACCTTACAACGTTTACATTTGGCATTGTGAAATGAGATGAAATTACTTCTCAATTTCCTCTCTTGTTCCCTTCGTCCTATTTCAGATTTCCAGCTTGAGCCTTGGTTCGAGTCCTGCTATATTGCGGAAGATGTTTCTCCAACTCTACTAGGCCTTTGGGCAGATCCTCCAGAAATAGACTCCTCGTTGCATCCACCTTCGAGGAATGAATTCATTCCACGTGACTTTTCCATCCGTGTGGATGAAGTGCATAATCACGTTTCTTATGTGTCATCTCCAAGATGTATACTGGATGAGCCATTGATAAAGTTATGGTACAAGCTAGATGATACTTTTAAATTTCCTCGTGCAAATGCATACTTTCGTGTAAACTTGAAGGGGGGATATGATGATGCAAGGAGCTGCCTTATGACCGAATTGTTTATTCTCCTTCTCAAGGATGAGCTCAATGAGATCATCTATCAGGTAACTATTACTCTGTCTATTTAAATTTTAAATTATATTGGCCTTATCAACTTTCAAGTTTGTTGCTGCAGAGTGGTAGAGGAAATGGTTATAAAGTATGGGTTATTGAATCATTGGTGTAGTAACTTTAATTGGAATGGTTTAAGTGATTGGTTTGTGGTCGTACTTAATCGACATACATAAACTTTTTAAGTTGGTTGCTGCAGAGTGGTCAGAATAAATGGTTATAAAGTATGGGTTATTGAATCATTGGTGTAGTAATTTTAATCGGAATGGTTTAAGTGATTGGGTTTGTGGTCATACTTAATGGACCTGCATAACCAGTTTTTTGGAGATGGACTTTAAGCTTACTCCTTGTGTAGCATGCCATTTTCTACGCATGTGGTCTTTATGATATGGAGACCATGACTTGTTTGAATGAAAATCTTATTATTGTTGGTTAGTTGATGAAGTTCACTGATAGTGACTTTTGAGTATTGAAAATAACCTTGCCAAAAGTGAATGTTGATATGTATGTTCCAGCTTGGATGTTTGACACGACAGGCTCTTTACTGCAGGCAAGTATTGCCAAGTTGGAAACGTCATTGTCATTCTTTAGTGACAAGTTGGAGCTAAAGCTCTATGGGTTCAATGAGAAGCTTCCGATTCTTTTGTCCAAGATTTTGGCCATTGCCAAATCCTTTTTGCCGACTGATGATCGTTTCAAGGTATAAGGCATTTTCCATGAAGGTCAATTCAGTTTATTAAGACCTGCTTCATTAGCATTATAAGGAAGACGCCCTCTAAATAGAAAAGCCAATATTTTTAAACTTGGAACAGTCAAAGAACTGAGGGGCTCCCAATTTGCGGTTCAATCATTTCTATTGGTTGGACCGCCTGGTCAGCATCGGGTGACATCATTTATATGAATTAGTAGATAATGTGAAAGCTCATTTGTTGACACGAGGTGTTGCCCAGCTAAGATGTATAAGGCGCATTCCAATTTTCTCCGATACATAAGTTCGAGTGTTGCTATATTGCCATGTGGAGCTATATCTCATGTGTAAGAAGCTTATTTTATATGAATTTTGGTAAAAGTTCAGCTGGGGCATTCTTGAGCCGTCAAATGAGGAGATAGTGTTATTTTTTAGACACTGCCTGTCCTCATAATATGGATAATCAGTGCTTTGGAAATTGAATATTTCTTCATTAAGCATATTTAACAATTTCCCCGGGGGTATCTATAAAAAAAACCAAGTGCCCAAGATACTTGCTAACAAGACCCCTTTTATATTGATTTACTAATTGGTAGAAAATGACTAAAGTTGGAGCATGGCTGAGTGTCATTGGATGTTTCTATGACTCAGAGAGGGCAGGGTTTGATACCCAGTACCTCCACCGGTATTATATTTTTATAGTCGAGATTTGGTTAAACTGGGTTGATTGGTTTGCCAAGTCAACCGGTTGAACCGGTTCAACTCAGGGATGACAGTCATATCATCCAACTACAAAGCAGTATATCATGAAAAGAAAAACTACAACACAATTTAAATAAATGATTGATGATTGCTTTTTCTTAAAATCTGAAGTAGCAATTATGCCTAAGTTTTGAGAGAAAGGGAAACAAAAATATACATCTTATTGTGCAGTTTTATCCTTACCTTGGCCATCTTATTTAACAGGTTATAAAAGAAGAGTTGGAGAGAACTCTGAGAAACACCAACATAAAACCTTTAAATCATTCGACATATTTGAGACTACAATTATTGTGCAAGACTTTCTATGACGTTGATGAGAAGCTGTGCTGTTTGGGCGATGTGACTATTGATGATCTGAAGGCATTCATCCCTATACTTCGTTCCCAGGTAAAGTAGATTATGATCAGCTTGGCTTCTTGTACTCTACCCTTAGTTTCAACAAGCGCTTTACCCATAATGTGCTTTTAGGTTCCTTCTGATGTTGATTCCATGAAAAGCGTTCATGTGGGGAGACTAATATAGGGCAGAGATCCATTCTTTTACATGTCCCAATAAACAAGATAATGGCTCCCTCTTTTGCCTAGATGTGCCTGGAACATGGTTTGAGAGCAGTCTGTTGGGGATTCAGTATAGATGTATATAATCGTACTACACCAGTGCACAGATGATATCTGCAAAGTGTGAGCGAAGTTTATCACTCCCTCAAACTTTAATTAAGTGAGGAGGGTAGAGCCCTGATCTTGGACAGAGGTTGGAGTATACAGTTTATACTTTATGGGCTCCTAAGGGGGTGTTTAGGTGTGGTTCCAAAAAAGCAAAAGTAGGTGAAATAAATATTATTCTGGTAGAAGTTTTCAATAGATATGAAGATCCAAGAAAATTCATGCTTCAGTCTTTCTTAATACTAGTTTGTTTGTTTGTTATAGCTTCTCATCTTAAGTACCATGACTATCCCAGACAAGCTCTTGTGAAAAAAAAAAAAGTGTCTTCTGTTGAACGTAGTCTACAACAAAGGAGTAAAAGCAATGCTGTTTTCAGTTATCCAATGAAGATAAAGAAGGGAATGTTCTCCAGGAATTGAATGTCATGCTTAATTCCTAGTTTAAAAATCTGTTTACTTTTGGAGCCGAAGAAAATTTTGATTGGATACTTGGGGTCTCAATGACCAGGGCAATCTAGTAACAAAGAAATATTTCTGGTTTCGTTACTGATCAATATTTGCAGATTGCGTGGGAGGTTTTATAAACGATCTTTATTGTCAACTTAGTTTTCATTTTGACAGCTTTATATTGAAGGCCTTTGTCATGGAAATTTGCTTGAAGACGAAGCTATTGTTTTATCAGAGGCATTTAGAGTCAACTTACATGTCCAAGCACTTCCAGTTGAGATGAGGCATGGGGAACATATTGTATCTCTTCCTTCTGGTGCAAACCTTGTAAGAGATATCAGGGTGAAGAATACATCGGAGACAAACTCTGTTGTTGAGGTAAGTAGAATAAGCAATTGTGTGTTTTCTTACTTCCTTCTGTCCCCTTTCTTTTATGTGCTAAATTTACTGAAGATCACCAAGGCGGTGCTCCTATTAAAATCTAGAAGTTAAAATTAAGTTGTATGCTATCTGATTTTCTTCTACTTGTATCTTCTCAGTGCTGTCCATTTTTATCTTAAATTCAATTCTATGCAGCTTTACTTCCAAATCGAACCAGAAGTGGGAAAAGAATCAATCAAATTGAAGGCTCTGATGGATCTTTTTGATGAGATAGTGGAAGAACCTCTGTTCAATCAGCTAAGGTTGTCATTGTTGCTGAAAGCTCCTCATACATTCAGATATTATGTGCCACTTGAGCTTCTTAGCTCATGACCGAGCAATTCGTTTCCATGATAGTAGTAAGAGGTGGAAGGCGAACCTGTCTTATTAATCACGTTGGGCCTCACTGCATAGAGTTGGTTCTGCTAAGTTGTGTGATTCTTTACTAGTTGACAAATAGAACAGTGATGGTGTCATTTTCGTCCGTTTACGTGCATAGGAGTGCAATTTTCAAGCTAGGGCTTGATGTAATGTATTTCTCTTTCTGGTTGCTGTTTTTGCTACATTTTTTGTTCTTTTTACTTATAAGCTGCAACAATTTTCTAGAAAGTTTAGTTCCAATTCTCTGTGAGTTAAGAGTAATATTTTGATCTTAAAAGGTTTCTCAACAACAACACTATTGTTATCAGGAATAATGAACTCGTCCGAGGAGAATCTATAGTTTTTTTATGTGACTTAATTGATCCCTTCTTTCTGGATAGTCGTATTCTCTTTTTTCCGGCCAAATCATCTGTTAGTTTCTTAATTATTTTTTTTACTCTGCTGTGCAGGACGCAAGAGCAGCTCGGCTATGTTGTTGAAGGTAGTCCCAGGGTGACATACCGCATTTATGGGTTCTGTTTCTGTGTTCAATCTTCCAAATATGACCCTGTCTACTTGCTTGGGAGGATCGACAAGTTCATAGACAGTCTGGAAGAATTACTGGTCAGCATCTTGTGCCTCTTTAATCCACATAGATATTTTTACTGTTCAAAAGCTCTTCTCGTCCTTATTGGATGTGCTTGCTTTTATTAAGGGTAGTGTGCTTTTTTCATCGCTTAGTGAGAACTGCTGTGGTGTGTCGTGGCCCTTCTGGTTGGTGGTAGATTTATAACTTGATGGAAATTAAATCAGTAATTGTTTTAAACTTGGTGTGAGGGAGGTCTCTAGAATAGCTGGAAAAAATCACCATAAAGTGTGGATGTTGGCTATGTATTTCTGGTTAGTTTACGTATTCTTGTGGAAATGCTGCATTTCTCTTAGTTGATGATAACAACCAACCGTAACCAACTTTACTCCACTAAGCGTGGTGGGCTAAATGAATTTTTTTCTACCATTGCTCTTCATATGTATCAAGTCTTGTTTAATTTATGATGCTTTCGAGCAAGGTGGCTCTTCCAGTGTAGCTTATGGTTGCCATATACTAATTGAGTTCATGTGAATATAGAATATGGTTTACCATGAATGCATAAAAGACTTGTCGTCTACATGAATGGTTATTCAGTCTTGTAAAGCACCTTATTTCATAGTTTGTTGAGGCCTTAATTGGTCTTAGGGATTTAATATCGTCAGATTCTGCTTCTTGGAGAAGAATTCCATCTGCTCGTCATGTTTGGAGATTTATTTGTTGCAGGGTGGCCTTGATGATTGTACTTTTGATAATTACAAAAATGGGTTAATATCGAAGCTGCTGGAGAAAGATCCATCCTTGACGTATGAAACGAATCGATTCTGGAGTCAGATAATTGATAAAAGGTATTGTTTTTTATACAAACTAATTATGACTTATTAACAAATATGATAATTTCTTTAAGTTGTTTTGTTTCTATCCTGCTTGGACTTTCTCAAATATTTAAAGTCTTCATTATTAGCTGCTAAAAAATGTGAACTTTAATGTTATCTATGAATTTAATCTATTTTTGGGTGCTTGGAGAATGGACCCTCATATGTGTGAGCATGGATGAACTATTTGACTTGCGTGTGCAATGTGTTAGGTGCCCGAGGTCTAGGTACAATACTTTTGATTCTAATGCCTGAAAATTTTCGAGGTAGTGCAAAAACTTGCTGCTCCAAGCACATTATCATTCACATTTGCTTTTGCCGTGGAATGATTAGACAGCCATGCAAATGATTTTTCTGCTGTATTGAGAGGCGCTGATGGATTTTTTCTCTTTGCTTTTTATCCCTCGAAATACTATACATACTAGGTGAGGTTTTCTCTTTTGATCACCTCTTTGTTCCCCATTCTGGTACAAGTGTAACTACTCTCTTATGTAATGGTGTACCTCCAGTGAATCTTCTTGATTTTAAGGTGCACAGTCTGGAAGCTGACTTTAGATCCATAATTGTCAGAGTGCTTCATGTCCTTAAAATTTTTTATTCTTGCTGAATCTCAAGCAACACGAATGTGTTTACTCTCAGGTACATGTTTGACTTCTCAGAGAGAGAAGCCGAAGTTCTCAGAAACACTAAGAAGGATGAAGTCATTAACTGGTATAAAACATACTTGCGCCAACCATCTCCCTGTTGCAGGAGACTTGCTGTGCGGGTATGGGGTTGCAACACTGACTTGAAAGATGCTCATGCACAGAGAGATCCTATGCAAATCATTGATGACCTTGCCTCGTTCAAGTTGTCATCAAAATACTACCCAAGTCTTTGTTGAGCAGATGCTACCTGGAGAAATAGTATTTGTTTAAACTATAGATGATCTCAAGGAAAGCTAGCCGGTGGGGTCAAGTTTGACTAATTTCTTCTTGAGATGAATTTATGAGACAATGGGAACTGATGATACATCGTGATGACATGTCTAGTTTCCCAATGATTGTCGTACTCTTAAGTGCTGGTGCTGGGATTCAGGACCTGCCTTTGACCATCATCAATGAAGAGCTAAAAATTTTTTTCACTGAAGGCTGGGATGAGCCATCTCAGACTGAATGTGAAGGAAATAACAGATCCGAGTACCTAGTAAAGGATTGGCCAAAAAAGGAAGAGTATTTAATATAGGAAGTCATTGTTCTCTATTTTTACATATCCAGAGCCGTAGAGACCGCATTCTAGCTTATTTATCATATTCTTTGTTGCTGTGTTGATGTTGGGTTTTTGCTGGTCGGAAGTGTGGATGATTTTTAGCCAGCTTCAGTTTGTTGCTTCTTCCTATTGTAAGACATTTTGCAAAAACAGGTCTAAAAAGCTGTACGATGTTGGTCAGGACACGGTAATGAGGATCGACCATTGTTGCTTTCTTTTATTTTGCCAGTCTATAATTTTCTAGCTTTCATGTTAATGCAGGCGTTGGCCTAACATCTACGGAAAATTTGCTATCCTCACTTCTATGGCTCATCAAGATGTAGCACACAAGTCATATTTTCTCCTGGGTTGAATCTAATTTCCTCTTGACGCATCGCAATGTTGGACATTACTTTACTCAACATTTAAAGTAGGGGTTCTTGATTACTTTGATAATACCAGACAAAAGTATTTAGAATAGATGCTTTACGCAAGAACTCAATGTTGATAAATTTTGATGTGCGAAGGCCTGTACCTGATCACTTCGAGCCTCCCGTTTTATTTCCTGTAAAAGTAATCGTTGAGGAAACATTCTTGCTCGTTCTCCAATGTGTGGGAGCTACTTAAGAATGATTATCTAACGGATAAATGTTTTTTTGTCTGTGGAAATCCATATTTGAACTGGAATATAGACGTGCCTACTACATAACAACTCGAAATCATTTTCCTTGTTTTTGCAATATGTGATTAAGTACGGCAAGGGCATAGATTTTGGATATCATGGTCGAAGTCCGTCAATGATAAGTACCACAATTTTAGTTGAGATGAAGTCAATTTTCAAATGCTTTGATCTAACAAATTGCGTTTCGCACCTCTATCGTCAGCATCCTTGGATCACATGGTCAACAACCCCTTGACAAGCTCTTGCCATCCCCATCGGTATTAGTTGTGCTTTGATACCATCAATTATCGCTGCCACCAAATAAGCTAATAGTTTTATCATCATGATTGATTGTCCGTTATCACACCACGATCAATAACTTCACCTCCATTCATATTCACTTGCCGCTATCGCCATCAGTAACCGTGCCACCGTAAGTGGCCGGTCTCGACTTCACTAATCGCATCATTACAGAGGAAGTTTTTCTCAATCATCTCGTCGCTTACCGGCCGTATGTATGACTGTCATTTCTGTAATTTGTCATAAAAGGGAATACATGGGTAGATCCATTATTCTAAACGGGAAAGGGGGAGTAACAAATGTAAATGCAATATTTTGACCTCGTGGGAATCGCAAAATTGGTTAAAGAGAGAAAGGGCACGGCAGGCAGCAGGCAGAGGCAGGGCAGGCACAGCGCATGCGAAAGGGACGAGAGGTGTTTTGGGTGGGGGCCTCGCGGGGATCAATCCGAGACACGGGGAAGAGACGGGGAGGGGACTCGTCACGCTAACAACGATCGTCGATGCTTCCGTCAAATTGAATCGAGAAATCTGCTGCCACTTTACTTACGAATCGTTTTATTATTGTAATTTGGTAAAGACAATCGCTCTAATCACCAACTTTTATAAAAAAATCCAAGTCAGTCGTGCTCGTCGATTCTCTTTTCCTTCCTGTTCGCTCCCTTCCCTTCTTCCCTTCCCTTCCTTCCTTCTTTTCATTCCCTTCCATTCCATTCCGGGTGCTGCCGCCATCCCCATCCATTTTCCTCCTCCGGGGTTTGCCGATTCATTTCGATGGTCAAAACCAGCGCCCCATATGATCTCTCTTGATCTCCCCTTCCTTCGCCCACCCCCCCTTCTTCCTCCTCCATCAATGCGATCCTCCCTTCGGTGACCCCCTCTCTCTCTCTCTCTCTCTCTTCTTGACTCGGTGTGTTTTTCATTGTCGTTATTGTGGGGGGGTCTTGAGGCTGCAGATCTAGGGTTCTTGAATGCTGAATTGTGTTCCCCATCGCCTCCCCTCGTTGACCGTGTGGTGTCGGCGGATTAACCCCTGTCCGAACGTTGTTTATGGTTGACAGCTGAGCTGCCCTTCTTCCTCCGGAATTCGGGTCATCCTGCCGTCGAGAAAACAGGTTAGGCAAATTGCATTCTTTCGCCCCGGCATCAATGCCGGCCTTCGACGTGTCTCTGTGGGCTTATGGTAATTAGTGATGATGATGATGGTGTAGATCGATCTAGATCGCGGAGGGGCTGGGTAGACTCTACTGAAGATGACCGAGAACAAGGGATTCCAGCTGGGCACCATTGGAGCCTTGAGTTTATCTGTGGTGTCTTCGGTATCCATCGTGATTTGCAACAAGGCCCTTATTAGCACGCTTGGTTTCACGTTTGGTGAGTTTGGATCTTGAATCATTGCAGCCTTATCAAGAGAAGGCTAGAACTAGGCTGCTTGACTTGTTTTGCTTTTCTCATCTATCCAGAGAATCGCGATACATATACTCACGGTATTGGATCCTCTGGTGCAGTTGTCATGCTCGAGCTACGTGTTGAACCGGCTGTAAATATTGCTTTTTTATGGTACTTGGATGGTTTTAAAAATTTCGGCTAATCTATCGTTTGATTCCAACGAGTAGAATTCGCTTGGAGAACAACATGACATTGGATGTGAGCACTTGGCTTTCTGATTTATCTGTTGAAACTAATTAGGATATCGTATCTTCATCATTTCTTTGTTCACTGTACATAAATTACTAGCGTTTGTCAATTGCAGCATGCTTTTCGTTTATCTTTGTGCTAGAGGATGCTACTGTCTCATTTTTTTAAATTTGGGTTCTTTCAACTTCAGACATGGTCTCGATTCTTGGATAAATAACTGCTTCTTTGGTGATATTTGCAGTACGTCCGTGACCATTTTTAGAGATGTATTAGTAATTTAAATCGATATCCCTTTTGCTTGAATTTACTTCCCATATTGTGGGGGTACGAAGAATGTAGTTTTTGAGGTTTTCCGGAGCTTCTCGATTCACTATGCTAATCATGCCTTATGCAGCCACAACTTTGACAAGCTGGCATCTGTTGGTCACATTCTGCTCACTTCATGTGGCATTATGGATGAAATTGTTTGAACACAAGCCTTTTGATGCGAGAGCTGTCATGGGATTTGGAATACTGAATGGGATATCGATCGGGCTATTAAATCTCAGCTTGGGTTTTAATTCTGTCGGTTTCTACCAGGTAATCCTTTAACCCCATTGCTACTTGAAAAGTTCAGAAGACGGTCCATGTTATCCATCTTTCTAGGAACCGAGTTTTTTCTCTCTGAACATCGTGCCATTTGCCGAATAATATGCAGATGAAGATTGAGTAAATATCTCACATTTTTATATATTTTCAGAGTACACTTTACATCAATTGTTTGTTTTCCGAGTTACTAGGGCTTACCAAATGCATGTTTATGAGGATGATTCCTTACTTGAAGTGGTCTCTCTGAAGATTTACCTCTGTTTAATTGTAGTGATTTTGTCCTTTAGCCTTAAGCCTTCATTCTACTAAGATGGCGAGAATCTCTTTTGACTTTTGACTCTCAGATGACAAAGCTGGCAATCATCCCCTGCACTGTTCTCTTGGAGACTCTTTTCTTCAGAAAGCTATTTAGGTGGGCCCTCGGCAATGTCCCTCTGCGGCGTGTATCTCTTGTTATATGAATATTCCTTGTGAGAGTGACTGAGTGTGCTAGGTACTTGTAACTTGCTAGAACCCCCCCTCCCAAACAACAAAAAAGGGGAAGAAAAAAATGCTTTATGAAACCTGCCTGTTGTTTGTCTTACCTTCAGTTTGTGTATATCATGTAATTTATCTCTGGCTTCTTCTGCTGCATCTAACATGATAGTTCACTCATGCTTGTTAATTGTTGTTGCAGCCGGAGCATCCAATTTTCGCTTGTAATTCTTCTTATTGGTGTTGGAATTGCAACAGTAACGGATTTACAGCTCAATGCCTTGGGCTCTGTCTTGTCACTGCTGGCAGTGCTTACGACCTGTGTTGCGCAAATTGTATCCTCAGTGTTCTCATCACAAGTATATTGTCTTTCATTGCATTCATCATTTTGCTTAGTTGACTCTATGAACTTTCAGAATCCTTTTATTCACCTGGTTGCACCACTATTCTACTTTGTTTGAGACCTTAATCATGATTCTTAGATGACTAATACGATCCAGAAGAAGTTCAAAGTTTCTTCAACCCAACTTCTCTATCAGTCTTGCCCTTATCAGGCAATTACGTTGTTTGTCACGGGTCCTTTTTTAGATGGCATGCTGACGAATAAAAATGTTTTTGCTTTCAAGTATACCCCTCAAGTGCTGGTGAGCGTCGACTGCCTTCCCCTTCTTCTTTGCTGAGGTTTATTTTCATAATTGTAACTGACTAAATATACTGTCTTCATTGCAGTTCTTCATTGTTCTCTCCTGCTTGATATCTGTTTCTGTAAATTTTAGCACGTTTTTGGTAATCGGAAAAACATCTCCTGTAACGTATCAAGTCCTTGGACATCTGAAGACTTGTCTGGTTTTGGCTTTTGGCTATGTTCTGCTTCACGACCCTTTTAGTTGGCGCAACATTTTGGGTATTTTGATTGCCATAGTAGGGATGGTACTTTATTCTTACTACTGCACAGCTGAGAGCCAGCAAAAGGCTAATGAGGCATCCGCCCAGCTGACCCAGGTACATTCATTTATTGGCACTTTATCATTTTGGATGATGTCGTTCTCTTATTAGTTTCTGAAGTAATCCTTTGAATTCTACAGTGCTGGAAAGCTACTGTTTTCTTTTCCTGTCATTAATAGTATTTTGCTTTCGTCTTCTATATTGCATTGTTTCATAGACTTCTAATGGGAGCCTATGCTCTTTTCTCCATGATGGCAGCCAAAGGAAAGTGAAACTGATCCGCTAATTGGTGTGGAGAATGGAAGTGCAATCTTAAATGACGGCATGGTTACAAAAGGCCCTGTGTGGAACTCAAACAAGGATCTACATGCATGAAGTCATCTACCTCCAATTAGGCATTTTAGGAAGCAGCAGCTTAGGTGAATTGGTAGTGTCTCAAAGGTACTGCTTTACCAAAAAGTCTTGCTGGATTCCTGAGATCAAGATTAAGATGCTCTATGTGAAGTTAGATTTTGAAGTTAAGAGAGGTGTAGCTTATACAGCAAACTTGTTCATTCTTTTTCTTTGTTGATGTTTGGAGAAATGTTGACCTTAAACACCAAAAAGAATATTGAATCTTTCTTTAATGCATTTAGCTTTCTGCGTGCTAAAGCAAACATAGCCTGTTTGAGGCCTTTCTTTCCCCCGAGTTATTGTTCTCATTTTCCTTTTCAGTTGGTGAATGTGCATCTAGTGAGTGTTAAAAGCAATGCATAAATTGAATAAAAACCAAATAGCTTCAGAAATCTGAAACTTAAGTTGGGTTGCAATGGAAAATTTTGATAGTTGCAGAGGATTTCATCACTTTGGTTCTAGGAGAATGCTGAGAACCGTTCAGTTAAGAGGACAGCCTCTTGTGTTCTTGTTTGATCTTTCAATCTGCATAATAAAGCCGTGAAATGTTTCAAGTCCTCGTGGACAGGCATTTCTTGATGTAGAAACGCTTTTGTTAGGCGCTGGAAACTAGTGCTGGTGGAATTTAATTTCCTTGCTACATATGACTATGAGCTAACCAGGAATCTACAGCGTGAGACTCAACTTACTTCTCGTTCTCCCCCAGAGTGAGTGTTCTGCCATGCGTTGTTCCAAGTCATGGTTCAAACAGGGCAAACTGTGCTCTCTTTCGTCGGACAGGCAAAATGTGGATAAGCTGAAGATTTGGGTTCCTTCTTAAAAACATCACAGACAGAAGAATTTCTTATTGACAAATACATCGATTTTATATGGCTACCTGTTTGAGTGCACATGGGTCATCAATCAAACCGTTGTGGGACTTTTGTTTTCCATGCCCCGATCGTGATTGATCACGATAAAACCATCTTTTGTGATTGTGACATTCAACCTGAGAGAATCAAAGTACATAGTCGGAGTGGGCATGCTTCATCCCTCGATGTGGAATGCCCCCACATATCCTATCATACTTTGATATCATGAGCCCCTCTGGTTGCCCTTAATTTCAGGCATTCATCAGGGGAGGGACCTTATCAGATTGAGGTACTTCTAGCAACACTACATGAGAAAAGTGGAGAAGTGCAGTCCTTCATCGAACCTGGTTATTCGTCCACTTGGTCGGATAGTCTCAGCGAAGTACAAAAATCTTCGAGGTCTGAACTCTGGAAGAGGGAAATAGTCAGGCATAGGTGACCGTTGATCATCCAACATCGGCACCCTCTAGTGGATCCTCATATATCAGGAATAAAATGGAAGATAGTACTGAATCTGAACATAAGCAAAGAGAGCTTAATCCTAGTGATCAATTCTGGGAATCAGTCCCCTTATGCCATTGATTGCTTCCTCCAACTAATTTGATCGATCATACTAGAGACATTCGTTCTAGACCCAAAGGCAAAGAGAAGAGCAAGATCGACCAGGATATACTTATTTCTGAGGAGGACAGGAAGTGAAAGCTAACAAGATTTATTATCACTATAATTTACATGAATAAGCTACAAGCTTAGGCTAGACATATGAAACCAGATTCGTTCGAAAGCCTTGACAATGTAAGGGTGATAGTAGGGAGGATTGAGGGACAGATAACAGGCAAGCAGGTCTTCCAAATCCTTGGAAGCACTGATGTCATTTTCCATAATCATCTCCACCATCGATTCCCAGAAGTCTCTCTGTGGATCCACGGATGACTTCACTACCGCAAAGCTGTCCGCCAGATTCTTATTACTGAATTTTACAGAGGATACGCTCTTTCTCGCCTGGGCCTGACCAACTTGAATCCTCGGAGAGTTACCTCGAACCTTAATACCTGGCTTCCTCATTCTGGCGGGACTGGTCTTTTGTGTCTGTTCCTGGGAACTCGAAGTTGAGGAAGCTCTTGATCTTGGTCTTGGTCTTGGTCTTGGTCTTGTAAAAGATGCTTTTGTGAGGATGGGAGGAACCGGAAGGATAGGCCGTGGAGTGGAATTAGTAGATGTGCTTTGATCTTGGTTAATGTCGATTATAATGTCCGTGGTGGAAGAAGTGAGTTTACAATCGAAAGAGGCTAAGGCATCGCCATCGCTATCAGATTCAGATGACGAGTGAGATGGGCAGTGATGATGCTGAAGACGCTGGTAGATGTAGTCAGGTTCAGGGGAAGCGTCGATATCGTTATCGACATACGGAGAATGGGTGGGAATGTGAGTGGGTAGTGTCCACGCAGGAGTGGGAGAAGAAGGCCTGTAGATGGTTTTTCTGCGGGACTTATGAGTGGAAGACGAAGAAGTGCGAGGTGAATAAGAGGAAGAGGGTGCAGCCACATTCTGGTGGTGCTTCTTCAGGGAGGAATGATTTCTTCTGCCGCGGCTGCTCATATCCTTAAGCTTGTAGAACCAAGCATTCGGCATCATATCTGACAATCTGAACCTGTAGTTACCCATCTCGAAACAGAAGTGCCGGAGGTCTGACTGCTGAGATGAGGATTAAGAGAAATAAGCGTTACAAGCTGAGGTCTATAGTTAAGCTGGCTAGTAAAAGGGTAAAAGCAGAGATAAAGCGAGGGTTCTGTTTCAGTTTCGGTGTCATCCTGTTCTACAACAAAAGCTCAAAGATTTCTTCCAGGGGATGACTTTCTGGCATCACCTCACTCCAGCCTTTAAAGCACATCACGAAAAGCAAAAAAGCATAGACAACAAAGAGAATGAAGGAATGTGACAACTCTCCTCCATTCAATTATGACATACAGCAGAATGATTCCTTGTATGGTGCATGGCATACCAAAAATTTGAGCTTCATGATGAAGCACTAAGTTTAGTAAATAATTTTTGGGGAAAGCAAAAGGAGGGCCCTCTATCTCACCAAAAATTCTTAGGTGATCTGGATGTATGTGAATCCAATGTATCTGAACCTTTGATAATGCTAAGTCTCACGTGAAATTCACATGATTTAATAATCGGATGCATGGAGCTCACATGGAGCCAATGCATCCATAAGTATCTTGTCTCGAGGCAAAGAGTGCACCTCTTTATCATAATTTCATGCTCCTATGGGAATGATGATATTCTTTCTACAGTACTAACTAATCAACCTCAAGAGGCCCACTTTGCCTCCTGCCTCTCTATCTTCACTCTCACATTATATAAACATTTTTTTTTTTCACTTTTTCTATTCCCGACCTGCGGACTGTGAATTTTATTGAAGAATTGATCCTAGTCCCAGACTCCCAGAGGCTCACACATCCAATGAGGAAGCAACAAGCTGGCCTCTCTTTATTTTGTTGTACAGTCGTAACTTTTAGTGTGAGAATTCGAGCCTATCCAAAAAAGAAGAAGAAGAAGAAAAAGCATAGCTAGTATTATGTTCAAGGCACATCACATTCACCTCTATATATATATATATATATACATATGGAATCCTAACGAGTTTTGCTTTTGTGGTAGAATCAAAGTTTATTGAGGAGGTAAGGGAACGATTTAGAGACAGTAGCAGCACATACTAGATGCTGGGATTCCTTCGACATAGAAGCTACAACTCTTAATTAGCATTTTGTATATATGGAATAAAGGAAAAAAAGTAATCCGTTAAGGTTAGTGCAATTGATTGAGGGTATTTGAGGATTTTCAATTTATAAACTAAAATCACCTATTTCAACCTCATTAATTACGTGTAAATTGCTCTAGAAGAGGGCCGCTTTAATAGGCTAAAAGTGGGTACTTAATGGTTCATGAGCTTGTAAGATGTTCTATAGGCTAGGAAGTTGGTCTCCACGCCCGAGACAACAATGACGAAAGTAACAAAGCATATATGATGATGCAGGCCAGATTGATAATGCTGCCCGCATCGAAGACGAGCTCACTCGACCAAGGAGATCAGCCCGCATCCGAGCTCGACAAGTCACTCGACCAGTCTTGAAGATATTGAAGGGACGCAATTCGAAGACCAAGAGTCTCATCCGCGAGTCCATGCCACAATAAAGTCCTTGTCTTTCCCTATACATCGGAAGTCTAAAATATACTTTGGGATGATCAAGAAGACGTTGGACATTTATCTAGTTTATAGTTTCTACGTTCTTTAATGTTTTATGCTTTCTAGGGTCTTTAATGCTCTTTAGTCTCTTCATTTGCTTGAGTCTTTTCATTTGTTTTTCTTTGGCTATAAAAGACCATCTACTTTATGTATTCGACAGACGAATTTGATTAATGAAAATTTTGCATCAAGCAATTATCTTGAACCTTGAAGAGTTCATACCCCTGAAAACCTAGAAGAGTTTTCACTCCGTCCTTGAAGAGTCGGAGGTTTTCAAATCTGCATCCTTGAAGAGTTGCAGTCATCGATCTAGAAGAATCGGTGCCCTATCCACTTCCTTGGAGGCCTGGAAGAGCAACCAACGAAGTTCTATCTTTTCCTCTGTTCTGTCCATTTACATCCGTCCACTTCTACCCCGATTTCGTCCTTCCTATAGTGCTTATTTGAGAAAACTCAAAACAGAGAAATTGTCAATCTAGAAGTCTTTGTTCATTTGGCTTTGGAATCAGGTCATTCCGATCTGTATCGACGAAGTTACATCCATTTTCCCGAGCTTGCGCAGGACTGTAATTACTGTTCGTCCTGTTCCACGTGTGCAAGTCACTCTCCCGATCCTAACGTTCGAGTAGCCTACACCAGGCTGCATCATTTGGTATCAGAGCTTTGGAGGAGAGAACCATGCTGCCAAGACAAGCTAGACGTCGTGGAGGCAGAACCATCCCACTGAATGAAGTGCATACGCTCGCTGACAATTTGCAGCAACATATGCAACAACAAATTGATGAGTTGACGCGGGAAGTTGAGCGTCTAAGGGCGGAAAGAAACAATTCACCACCTCGTTCCAGGACCGAAGATTCCAATGGTGACTCTTCATCTTCGGAGAATGTTCGACCATTTCGCAATCGGAGGAATGTTCGACATCACGAGCAAAACATTCGTGAACCGAAGTGGGAAAAAGAAGTTAAAAAGGATATCCCGGAATTCTCAGGTAATGATTCTCCTGAAGAAATTGTTGACTGGCTAACACTTGTTAATGAAGTGTTTGAGCATCGAAATGTTTCGGAGGATCGTCGAGTCGGGATCATCGCTATGCGATTCAGAGGTAAAGCCATCGCTTGGTGGAGGCGTGAGAAGCAAACTCGCCAATCCGTTGGCAAAGCGCCAATTACCTCGTGGAGGAAGATGGAAGACAAGATCCGAAAGTATTTCCTACCTAAGGGATACAAGAGAGAGCTCTATCAACGGTACCAAAATCTGAGACAAGGTACGCGAACGGTGGACCAATACACCAACGAATTCAATGAGTTGGTGATTCGCAACAACATTCAAGATCCGGAGGAGATGCTTGTGAGCAAGTACTTGAATGGCCTTCAACTTCATATTCAAGATGCCCTGGAAGTCCTTGACATTTGGGACTTAGGAGATGCACACCAACGAGCACTCAAGGTGGAGCGTTCTCGCTCAAGGAGGCAACAATCCTCTATCATGACCAATCAACCCGCTAGGAGTACCCCCGGCACCACCAAAGTTGCTGAGGCTACGACGCAAACCGCTAGTAAGTTTCCTAATCAGTCCAACATTTTGAAGCAACCAACTACGTCCGATATTCGTTGCTATACTTGTGGTGAGTTGGGTCATCGTGCTAGCAATTGCCAAAAGAACAAGAATCGACAAGCCGGCAAAGCCTTCTTAGTGGATAACGATTCTGATGAGCATGTGGAGGATCCGCTCGAAGAAGAGGTGAATGATGTCGAAGAGTCCGCAGGTGACGAGCAAATAGTGCATGCTGATTCTGGTGAATTTCTGATGGTGAGAAAAATCTTTCTAGCTCCTCGTGATGAGACCGGAGATGGGTGGCTGCGCACCAACATTTTTCATTCTGCTTGCACGATTAAGGGGAAGGTATGTCAATTGATTATTGACTCTGGATGTTGTGAGAATATAATTTCTGAAAGTGCAGCGAACAAACTAAAGTTGGAGTTAAAGGCGCACCCCACACCTTACAAGATGTCGTGGCTATCGAAAGGCACCGAGATAACCGTTTCCAAACGCTGCCTTGTTAATCTATCCATTGGTTCTGTTTATTTCGACAAGATATGGTGCGATGTTCTACCAATGGATGCTAGTCATGTTATTCTTGGGCGACCATGGCAATTCGATAGGCGGACTACTCATGATGGTTATCGAAATACGTATTCTTTTGAATTTGGAGGGAAGAAGATTATATTAGCACCTAGTAAGGAGCCTTTAAAAACTTTTGTTGTCGAAAAGTCTTCATTGCTTTCGATGAATGATATAAAAGGTGCTTTAAAAGGGGTTCGTATTGTATATGTTTTACTTCACAAAGCAGGTGAAGTTGCTTCTTCTAATCGGGACACAAAGTTTCTCAGTCATTTTTTGCGACAATTGTGGAAAAATGTCGGTACTAAACTGCAATATAGTACTGTGTTTCATCCCCAAACTTATGGGCAAACTGAAGTCATCAATCGAACCTTGGGAATTCTATTGAGGACAATGATTGATCCTCGCTCTTGGGAGACACGATTGTCACATGGCGAATTTGCATATAATTGTGCTGTAAACCGTACGACTGGGTATAGTCCTTTCATGATCATGTATGGACAACAGCCGAACACTGCTCTTGATCTTGCACCCATTCCTTTTGCTAAAAAGTTGAGTGGCAATGTTGAAGATATTGTTTCTCAGATGAGAGCAATTCATGAAGATGTGCGCCAAAGGTTAGAAAGCAAGACAGAGTCCTATAAAAAGGACGTCGATAAGCGGCGGCGTGAAGTTATCTTCGAACCAGGAGATTTTGTTTGGGCTTACTTGCCACCAGAGCGTCATCCTGTTGGAAGCTATAACAAGCTTAGTGATCGAAAGCTTGGTCCTCTTGAAGTTCTTGAGCGCATCAATCCCAATGCATATCGCTTAAGGCTTCCTTCTCATATGAAAACACATGATGTTTTCAACGTTCGGCATTTAACACCTTATGCTGGTGATTCCTCTGATGATGACATGAATTCGGGGACGAATTCTTTTAAAGAAGGGGAGTATGATGCAGGCCAGATTGATAATGCTGCCCGCATCGAAGACGAGCTCACTCGACCAAGGAGATCAGCCCGCATCCGAGCTCGACAAGTCACTCGACCAGTCTTGAAGATATTGAAGGGACGCAATTCGAAGACCAAGAGTCTCATCCGCGAGTCCATGCCACAATAAAGTCCTTGTCTTTCCCTATACATCGGAAGTCTAAAATATACTTTGGGATGATCAAGAAGACGTTGGACATTTATCTAGTTTATAGTTTCTAAGTTCTTTAATGTTTTATGCTTTCTAGGGTCTTTAATGCTCTTTAGTCTCTTCATTTGCTTGAGTCTTTTCATTTGTTTTTCTTTGGCTATAAAAGACCATCTACTTTATGTATTCGACAGACGAATTTGATTAATGAAAATTTTGCATCAAGCAATTATCTTGAACCTTGAAGAGTTCATACCCCTGAAAACCTAGAAGAGTTTTCACTCCGTCCTTGAAGAGTCGGAGGTTTTCAAATCTGCATCCTTGAAGAGTTGCAGTCATCGATCTAGAAGAATCGGTGCCCTATCCACTTCCTTGGAGGCCTGGAAGAGCAACCAACGAAGTTCTATCTTTTCCTCTGTTCTGTCCATTTACATCCGTCCACTTCTACCCCGATTTCGTCCTTCCTATAGTGCTTATTTGAGAAAACTCAAAACAGAGAAATTGTCAATCTAGAAGTCTTTGTTCATTTGGCTTTGGAATCAGGTCATTCCGATCTGTACTGACGAAGTTACATCCATTTTCCCGAGCTTGCGCAGAACTGTAATCAAGTGTTTTTGGTTTGGTGAAGATGAATAGCAAAGAAAGTGGTGAGTCTACTCTAACCCTTTTTGTTCCTTGTTTTGGACAACAGCCCAATTGGTATAGAACTTCACGGGCCCTGCCCATTCTTTTTCACGTTGTGCAAGCCCTCCGCAGCAATTTCACAATGGCAATTCTTTTGCTTATGCGGAGTCATACTACCATTTTTCATAGTATATATATTTATATATATGATATTATAGAGAGAGATCGAGTAATTAAAGGTTTAATTAGAATCTCGTGGATCTCATTCTCAACTCACAATCTTTCTTTTTCAGAATAATTATGGATCTCACGTCTGCAATCGGATACTTCGAATTGTTTAGTAATGAAGGAGAGAGATGTTGGAGTATAGGGTTTAGAAGGAGCACTAGGCAAAGGAATCAAAGGTGAGAACAAATGCATACCAACAAATGCACCCCCCATTCCCATATTTGTGTTCACTTTGTACTTTCTCTCCACGTCCGTCCACATCCACGTCCACATCCACAGACGTTCTTCAAACCATCTCCCTCACTCCATTACCGATCCAATCTCAAAAGCTTTACTTCTATTTTCATTTCCAGGCATTTAACCTCCTTAGGTCAGGCCTTGAGTTGTCCAAAAGCCAAGTGATGCATTTTTACTCTGAAATAATTTCACGAAAAGCTGGGGGCAAGCAAGTTCGAATTTACAAAGGTCACGCAGTTTATCTCTAAGTTGATTATGAATAAATGGGAGCAAGTGGTGCGACTGCGACCCCCCCGCAAACATGCTCTCGAAAGGGCCAGACTCCAGACAGTCTACTGTTGGGTTAGTTCGGATATTTTGTCTGGACCGCATCGCTCTTGGAATCTAACGACATACTAATGCATAGTTGAGTGTCAGACACACCTTATGTTGGTTTGGTGCATCGATCATGTGGCATCGCAGCTCTGAGATGCTTTCCTCCTCTCATGTTAACTGACTGCTGTATTCAATTAGTTGATTGGTGTACTCTCGGAGGTTTACTCCTTGTTGCTTCACCTCCATATAATGTCTGAACATGCATAAACATTTTCCAACTTTATTGTCTTGCCAACAGGAGAAATTGTTAAACCTGAGTCAAGTATACGTGCTAAATCGAAAGACATGCATGGAGGAGGGAAATGAATACATGTGCATCAGATTAGGAAGCCCTTTTCGGAAGTGAGAAGTTAGGAATCGATTGATTAATTAAAAGAACCCCATTTTGGGATTGGGTCACCTTTTTCCAATTTTGATTCCACCCAACACCAACTGCCCCCGCTGCATTAATTCAGGTGTTGCATGGTCATGTGGATTTTATCGAACTGTGGAAGATTCTTCTATCCTCAATCAAGTGCTGCCAAGAGACAAACATCCGAAAACATTTTTAGCAGTATCCAACTTATTAAGCTCCTTCAATTTTCTTGCTCGGGGTTATAATAAAGATGGAGTTGGAGTTGGGGTTGAAGCGAATCAGAGGGTGTGCTGGTGCCTTGTTTATGTGCTCCGTCTCCCTCCTCTCAATTTGGGCACTCTCTCTGTCTCATCCCACTCCTACTCCTCCTCCATGTGTTGGGTTCGATGGTAAGTGGTTCTTGTTCCTCGAGGGTTATGAACAGGGACCATTGTGCGTTCAGCTAGGTCCGACATCATCTCGTGTATATTCCTGCCTTGCAGGTATTCTCAGTCCTTCACTGCCTGGTAAACCTCATCCTAATCATCTTCAGGTACCTACTTTATTCACATTCATATCCGCTAGCTATATCTCACCGTGTTCTGGTAATCCCTTGACGGGCATATGCCATTTGCAAAAATTGCAGGAACAGGTGTCTGAGATCATGGTGGTGGGAGGAAGGAGGGAACTGAGAACAAGAGGTCCCGGATCTTCACCACCGCGATGCAACTCAAAATGCGGCAAATGCACGCCTTGTAAGCCTGTTCACGCGCCAGTGCCCCCAGGAACACTCGTCACTGCCGAGTACTACCCTGAAGCTTGGAGGTGTAAATGCGGCAACAAGTTGTTCATGCCTTGATCATATCGCTTTCTCCATCTCCCCCGTCTTCTTTTGGCTGGAGTTATTTACAGCTTTACCCTTACATTCCATCGTATGTATTTCCGTGCTTCAAGTTCAGATGTATATTGTGAAGCATAAATCATCAGCACATTACTTAGGCGAAGTCGTCGATGAATTTAGTTTTGAGATTTCAGAACATTGTGCAGACATTTTTCAAATGGATTTCTATCACGCGTGACTCTTAACAAGCGAACAAGCTGGAACATCATCTTCGCAATTCGAGGTCAGGTCCATGAATTCAATACTGCAGCTGCATTTCATAATTCGCTTGATCATTGCTGGAGCAGGCATTAGTGTACTCAGCAACTCAACGTCTACTGACTGCTCACAGGTCTCCTTTCCCTTGCGCGCTCTATTAGGAAAGAAGAGAAATGTGCGGAGACTGATTTACAAATTGCTACACTAAATAATGTAGCGAAATGTTACTGGTGTTAAGTATTACCCCCTCGTTTAGTTGTACACCTGTAAGTCTAGGACATCACTAAACTCACGAAGCAACCTTCTACGCCATGGATTGGCGCTTGTGACTATGCACTTTTGGCAAAGTCATTATGCCGAGGACACATAAAGTTACCTGTAGAGAAACATTTTCTGTACCGGCAATTTGCTCAAAGTAATTATCTCTCTCTTCTTCGCTTTTTGTGCCCTCTTTTCTTGTTTCGTACAAATTATGCTAATGTAGGTAAGTTTCGCACGAGACCCACGTGATGTGTTGATAGACAAGAACTAGCATGAAGTTCATTGCATGGTGCACGGATCATGTAGGCCAATTTTTTTTTTTTTTGGTCAAAATTATGTAGGCCAAGTAACAGGGAGGAAAAGGACAAGAGGCTGAAGTGGTGGACCAACACGGGAAGGGGTCATGTGATCGACTGAGCTTGGGTTTTGGAAATGGGCTACTTGGTGTCCGCTTAACCTAGCCTCCTTCGGATTCCAGCCATAAGATCATGTGACCCAACTTCAACTGTTTCGCAGAGTCCCACATCCATTTCTTCAGTCGGGAATCAATCAATCACCATCATCATCTTGATTTTTTCTCTCTTCAATAGCGATTAAAAACATTTGAAGAGAACTCTAGACGCCCACCGTTTAGATTCGTACCTTCCAACTACTCCTTCATATAATCTTGCCTAGAACCCAATTGGTTCCTTATATAATAAATATCCCATGTAGATCGTTGGTTACGCTGCCCAAGTGAATGTGCTTGCAGATGCGCCTAAATTTCACGGGGCAAAACCTGACGAGTGAGACGGTGGTGGACGTACGACCTCTATGCGAGAGAACACATGGAGATCTCTGTTGAGGACGAACCCTACAAAAAAACCGAAGCTGGAAATTGGATGAAAGGAGGGTGAGAAGTAGCACCATCCTTATCCGGCTTTCCACGCTATATAATCAACTGAAAGAAAAAAAAAATTCAGTTCGGAATTAAAGAGCCGGAATTTGCGGGAAGTTTCGGGGAGCGCAATGTCCACCACACACGACGCGTGGAATTTGGAAAAAGGCTACAATGCGAGACAAAGATCGGAGATCGTACGTATCACCTACGTGTCCCTTTGCACCTCCGTTGCTGCTTCCTCGTTGCCTTGGTTTTGTCAAAGTCCTGTCGTTCCCTCTCGTTTTCACACTTGTTTCCCGCCCCCCCTGGCGCTTCCCTCACAAATCCATTCGAATTCCAAGAAAATGGACGTCACCAAAACTTCCTCCCTCCCCTCCATCTCCATGGGCATGTCCGCTCATAACTAAAATTCAACCGGACAAAAATATCATGTGCCCAAGCAAGCGGCCCTTCTCTAGATCGATCGCTAGCGTTTGCTGGTGGTGTCGAGCATTTGTACGTCAAACCTAATAGTCAAACTCCAATGTATCTCACCCGACCTACAGGTAAATGCAAATTACTTTGAAAGGGAGTTCGATTCATTTTAGGATTATTATATCCTGCACCGATTATCTACCAGATTTACATATATATTCTTAATGTACATGCGATTTTATTCTCTGCCTGTACGCTTAAAAGTTGACTAGTGATATCACCCGCCCATAAAATTTGATATCACCAGCCCCATAAAACTATACGGGGTTTCCTTAGCCAGGTCCGTCGGCTTTGAATTGTCGCTTCGTTTTGCGTGTGATGGACATGGTTGGGTTTCTTTTCTTAATGATTGAAGGGGCGGGGGGAAGAGCGTGTTTTACTTTAAATATTAATTTAGTGCCGTCGGACAATTGCTGTCCAAACAAACAAACAAAAAAACCCTTGCTGTCCTTCCTGCGTGCCGCTCCTGCCACTCAAAGAAGACAGGTGGACGGCTGCTGTTGAATTTTTCACGTGGGTGATTCAGCAGAGCCGGCATATACCATTTCTATACCCGCGTCCTCCCTGTCCAGCTCCTCAAAACTCCCGTCCGTTCTCTCAAACATCTTGTCTCGTCATCAGAAGCAGCACACGCCCGCCCAAATTTCGCATACCGCCTGCGTTTGTGCGAGTAAATCGAATCTGTTCTTGTTCAAGGGCCCTGCCCTTTTCGTCTGTGAATTCATTTGTATCGAGCCCCCCGGAGGAGGTTCGATCTCTGGCAGCAAAATCTGATGCCAGAGATCGAACAACAACAACATCATCAACGACATCTTCATCATGAGGACGCCCTCTTTGGCAAGTACGAGGTCGGGAGGCTTCTGGGTTGCGGCGCTTTCGCCAAGGTGTACCACGCGCGGAACCTGCAGACCGGGCAGAGCGTGGCGCTCAAGGTCATCCACAAGAAGAAGCTCTCCGCCTCCAACTCCGCCACCCTAATGTCCAACATCAAGCGCGAGATCTCCATCCTCCGCCGCCTCCGCCACCCGTACATCGTCTCCTGCTTCGAGGTCCTCGCCACCCGCACCAAGATCTACGTCGTCCTGGAGTTCGCCAAGGGGGGCGAGCTCTTCTCCAAGGTCTCCAAGGGCCGCCTCTCCGAGGACCTCGCCCGCCGCTACTTCCAGCAGCTGATCTCCGCCGTCGGCTACTGCCACGCCCGCGGCGTCTTCCACCGCGACCTCAAGCCCGAGAACCTCCTCCTCGACGACAACGGCGACCTCAAGGTGTCCGACTTCGGCCTCAGCGCCGTCACCGACCAGATCCGGTCCGACGGCCTCCTCCACACGCTCTGCGGCACCCCCGCCTACGTGGCTCCGGAGATCCTGGGGAAGAAGGGCTACGACGGCGCCAAGGTGGACGTGTGGTCGTGCGGGGTCATCCTGTTCGTGATGACCGCCGGGTACCTGCCGTTCAACGACCCGAACCTGATGGCCATGTACAGGAAGATCTACAAGGGCGAGTTCCGATGCCCCAAGTGGATGACGGCCGACCTGAAGCGCTTCCTCCGCCGCCTCCTGGACACCAACCCGGACACCAGGATCACCGTCCACGAGATCCTCAAGGACCCCTGGTTCAGGAAAGGCTACAAGGAGATCGACCTGTTCGCGGAGGCCTCCGGCAGCAAACCGGACGGTAATAAGGGGATGGAGGTGCAAGGGGACAGCAAGAGCGAGCTGAACGCGTTCGACATAATATCCTTCTCGTCCGGGCTAAACTTGTCGGGATTGTTCGACGACGCGTATGACGCGTTGGAAGACAGGGAGAGGTTCGTGTCGGAGGAGTCGCCGGAGGAGCTGATGGAGAGAGTGGAGGGATTCGCAAAGGAAGAGAATCTGAGGGCGAGGAGGAAGAAGGAATGGGGGCTGGAAGTGGAGGGGAGAGAGGGCAATCTGGTGATGGAGGCGGAGGTGAACAGGTTGACGGAGAAGTTGGTGGTGATGGATGTGAGACGAGGAGGGGGAGATGCTGGTGTTTACAGGGAGATGTGGAAGACCAAGCTCAGGCCTCGCCTCATTCACAGCTGAAATCGATGCCGCGTTCCGTCCGACATTAAGACTTGAATTTCCGGGCCGGCCAAGGTGAGCAGGCTCGGGATGTGGTGCTTGGGGTTTTGCAGTTTGCAGAAATGAATTTGCCATTGTCAATTTGTTGTGGACCTCTACTAGTTCGCATACACATTAATGAAAATAAAAAGCTTTTCGGCGCATGTATGTATGAATGCTCTATATTCCCGAGTTTCCAAGAGTTGTTCACTGCAGAGATTTTCTAACATAGTAGCCATGTATTGGCATTGTAATGCACTCTGTAAATACAAATCTGTACACAAAACATCAGAGAGAGAGAGAGAGAGAGAGAGAGAGCAACAAGGATATAGGGGCAAATTGGTTTTGAAGAAATGTTCCGACCAAGTCAACTTGCTGTTAATGTCATACTCCCAGAACGAGTGAGTGAGTGAGTGTTGCAGGTCGCATTGCCTGCTTCCGAATGTGTGGGTGGAGGCGGTCCGGTTAAAGGAGGAAGGAGGACGGAGGCGTTGTAGGAAAGGAAAATTTTTCTCGTAATCATTTTCGTTTCTCGAGTAGAGAGAGGGCCCGGTAATTTGGCTGGACCAGCTGTTTGATGACGGGGATGGACCCACACGGGGTATACCATCATCGGATCCGACGGCGCGGAAGGAAGCGGCAGCGCCACGGCTCAAAGAGTTGCACTCCATGCCTCCTTGAATCATTCATTAGTTTGTTGAACAATGAAATAAAAAGAAGGTTGGAATTTATTAATACGCCGAGAGCCTGCGAATCTTTCGCAACCAGCCCAACAACCACCTGACCTCCGCGCAATTCTCCCCTGTTATCTCCTCTCCAAAACAGAGTGGTTAACTTAGACCGTTTCAATTCTCCCCTGTTTTTTCCTCTCCAAAACAGAGTGGTTTTTTCTTTGGTAAAAAAAAAAAAAAAGAGTGTTTAACTTAGACCGTTTATCCATCGCTTCCTTCTTCTATCTTTCCCTTTTACCATAAACTCTGAACTCGAAAGCTTTCCATTGGATAAGATAGAGCTAATTCTGTATTTTCCTCGAAATTATATATGTGTGTGTGCATACTGAATCGAATTTGCATCGCATCTTGGATGGGATGAGTTCCACCAGCATAACCGGCATGCCTTAAAGGCTTAAACAGCAGTTTTGATGCATCCACTTCACTTTTTTTTTTTTTTTTATGAATGAGTGGTCCTCCCGTCCTTTTTTCTCTTTGATAATAATTTAGTGGAACGATTCAAAGTCTAAGCAACTGCTCTGCTTTGTCTACAAGTTCACTATTCCTATTTATGGTGTCGGTCACATTGGGTAGGACTATCTTTCCAAGTCAGCCATATGTTACTCCATTCAACGCACACGTGTCTCACCTTCTAGAAATTTAAAACTCCCTCTCTTTTCTCTCAGTTACTTCTCCTTTCACCTCAATTAACTGTTCATATTATTGAAGAAGTGTGTTGTCTCTGCTCGCTCTCTTATCCAAAGAAAATGAAAAGATGGAGCTTTTGATTGTGAAGAGGGAGGAAGAGAGAGAGAGCAAAGACTGCACACTTCGTTTGTACGTGGACATTTAACGGAGGTGAAAGGAGAAGTAACGGAGAGAGAGAAGTGAGGGAGTTTCAAAATTTTTTGAGAGGTGAGACTTGTGTGGATGCATGTTACACGTTGAATGGAATGACATATTATTGACTTGGCAAGACTGACTCACCTAATATTTTCTTGTGCCTCAAGCATTGTACCACCAGTCCTTCCACATTGCTAAACAGTATCTTTGCGTTTTGGTACATTAATGCAGAATATGACGAATATTTACCGCAATTTGGAAAATTGGTAAAGTAATGTGTTGTCTATATATTGCCTACATCTGTTTTAATGATACCAAGTCGTGTAGGACTTAGAACCACGTATAAAAAACCACTTAATTCCTTTAAACAACACCACTTTTAGGCCGGATCCAAATTCTGATCCATACTTTGTTTATATCTCATAAAAAGCAGCAACTTATATAATGTGCCCTAGTTCTGGCCCAATATTTTTTTGTCATATGAAAAAACCACTAACTTTAGATTGGGTCCCAATTGTGGGCCGAACTTCTTTTTATCTAATAAAAAAGTAATTGTTTTCAATCGGTACCCAAATTTGACTCACGTCATATTTCTGTCCAATGATACCGTTAAAAATCCTTTATGTCATTTCAAATATACCTCTCTCTCTCTCTCTCTCTCTCTCTCTCTCTCTCTCTCTCTCTCTCTCTCTCTCTCGACTTAACACAAACCAAATTTGGGTGCCGATCGAAAGTTTGCGCGATTTTTCATGAGATTAAAATTTCAAGTCACAATAGGGATCCAAAAAAAAGTTTGGATCAAAATTGGAATTCGGCTTAAAATTGTTCCTTTTTTTGAAATGAAAAAAGTTCAAACCAAAGTTGAAACCCGACCTAAAATTGATGCTTTCAATGGAATTTAGGCTATAAAATAGAATACTATAGACTTCACATATTACTTGCACTTGATTAATTCATAGATTCTGGGGTTTAGGCTGCTCAAGCTCTTGAAATGGCCCATCAGGTTAATGAAACACTTCATGGGCCCGAGTTTTGCCATCTATACAATACAGTTAGTTTGGGACGAGCATGTAGAAGGGTGAGTTGGTGAGGTGAGATCCACCAAAGGAAAGGCCTCGGGATTTCTCCTACTTGGGCATTGCAATCTCTAGATTTGGTAAATAGCCCAAGCCCACGATTCCTATGTATTCCAAAGGAAGGATCCATGTTAAGCATCACATCCATACGCCACACACTATCTATAATTTATGAAAATCGGACCCTTCAACGTCCGGAGGGTGATCCAGGAATTGGACAATGCATCCAAGACAATTAACTATTCATGCATTTCTCTTCTGAGTATAAATATTCTTCACACAACACGTAAAGAAGAGTTGTTGGTCGACTGGGTCATGAATTCATCGTATTCCTCGCTTGGTAATGACAATTATCCGAAAAGTTCAAACTCTATCTGAAAACGACGTACAAATGCAATAAAAGAAAACGACGTATCAAAATTTTCAACTCACTGGATACACAACCCATCTTTGATTCAAGTGGCAGTTAGAAATACAAATGGATATTACATAAGAAGTGAACATAGATATCTTTACATCATAAAGAAAATAAGAAAAAAATACCAATCCGACAATTGGTTCAGTGGTATGGAAACGGCCATATGGAGAAGAATCGGTAAACGTGGGTTACATAAGGCATGAAAAGTACCCTTGCTGGCTTAGGTAATTGATTATGTGGAGAGAGGAAAGCGTGCATATATTAAAGGGACCGACCCTTCCTCTAATGTAATAAGCTGAAAGCTTAACCACTCTAAATCCACAGCATCATCACTGGCACTTGACAACCCTCTCTCTATTACCCCCGTATCTCTCTCTATATATAAAAAGGAAGGGACGCATTGTTGTGAGTTGGGACGCCTTGATGTTTATTTTGGAGGGGTCTGTTGAGAGAGTTTAGAGGAGGAAGCTGTGGCATTTTTGAGAATGGAGGCCAACATAATGAAGAGCAGGTCCGATCTAAGTCGGAAAACGCAGTGGATGAAGCATCCTCCTCCTCCTCATTACCTCGATGCCAAAACATTCTCTCCTAGGCGACTCAGCACCAGCAGCGTTAGCCTTAGCAAGTACCTCAATCCCGGTGATCTCCACGATGACGATGGTGACGACGATGACGCCAATGGTCAGCAACTTTACAGCCGTGGAGGAACGACTGTGTCGATTCCCTTCACCTGGGAATCGCAGCCTGGCACTCCCAAAGTCCGATTCTGCGACGATGCTGTGCCTCCGCTCATGCCTCCGCCTTCTTACTTCTACACCCCCGCCAGGGATACTAATGATAGTAAGCAACGACCTAAGACGAAATTCCTCAGCACCATCCTCCCCAAATTTAGGTCATCGTCTCTGGCATCACCCACCTCCTCTTCCTCCTCCTCCTCCTCCTCCTCCTCCTCCTCCTTGTGGTCGTCGGTGCCGCCTTCTCCAGCCGTGGGTGGACGCGCTCGGACGTCCACTTCCAGACTGTCATTGCCTACCAGAGTGGGAAAATGGGAAGAGGAGTTTGAGGATCATGGTCCAACTCCGTGCTTCGGCTTTGGTCGTCGGGGGACTAATGCCAGGCCTCGGGGTTGTTACTTGGCCATGATTAGGGTGCTGCGTGGCAATTTCTCTTGATTTTCGCCGCTTTCTTATAGCTAGATGGATTCACGTGTGCTAAATTTACCAATCTGATCAGTTGTTCGTGAATGGTTCCTATGTGTATTTACTTCGAAGATTGTAGCTATCAATCCATCCATCCTCTATCGTTGAATTTGCAGTTCTTCCATTTCATGCACGATTACACGAACGATGAATGCCCACACTCCTTACACTCGAGCAAAATAGATAAAAAGAGTTCAAAGCTAAACAAGAGTACCAATTAAGCGTGCCTAAAAAGGAAAACTTCGACACTAACTACACGCATCACCAAAAAAGTCAAGTGTTTACAAATTGAAAAACTTCTTTATTTGAATATATTGCTTAGCACTTTTCCCTAAACACGAATGTCTAACTAGTTTTCTTGGTCCTAAAAACTGTCTTTCGGTCACAATGGTATCAACTATCAAGATCTCTACATCTTCTATATCCAAAACCATCTTTGATGCCTAAAAAACCATGTTATGATACTTAGTGAGATAAGACAAAGATCATTTCATTAGAAAGCTTCAAGAATCAAAAGAGACCCAGAAATGGTGTTGGTGTTGGTGTTGGAAGCCAACTGCCCTTTATAGAAAAGCTTGAACCGGTTTTGTATATGACAGCGTTCGCTCTCCGAAGTAAACAGGTGAACCGCGACTAGCATCTTGTGGTGTCCACAACTTGTAAATTATAGTGACGGTGACAATAATCAACGGAGCGACGGAAGTAAGATTATTATTATGAATTCTTTTTCCTTGAAACATACTTTGACATGGAAATGTGATGGACTCCTTCAAAGATTAAAAAAAAAAAAAAAGGGAAATTCATCTCGACGTCAACTACTTCTCTATGAACCAAAAGCACAGTAATTTCAGCTTTCCCCTCGCTTCCACATTTCTAAGTCTGTATCTACCTATAAGACAATTTGTAAAAACATAAGAG